CGCAAGACGAAAAACGCACAAGACGAAAGAGTTTTCCGTTTTTTGAGTCGTTCCGCAAGGCGAATTTCCTTATGGGCTTGCTTCGCAAGACAAAACGTCTTGCGAGTTCTTGCGAGTTTGTTTCCTTTTTCTTAAAGCCGCTAAGCCATTAATAGCTGCTAAGCCGCTAAGCTTCGCAAGATGAAAAAACCGCAAGATGAAGAGACTCGCGGAACAGATTAATTTCGTCTTGCGAGGCACCACTGTATGGAAGTAGTGATGTATGGAAGTGAGAGCTGGACCATAAAGAAGGCTGATCACCAAAGAATTTATGCTTTTGAATTATGGTGCTGGAGAAGACTCTTGAGAGTCCTATGGACTGCAAGAAGATCAAACCGATCCATTCTTAAGGAAATCAGCCCTGAGTGCTCACTGGAAGGACAGATCCTGAAGCTGAGGCTGCAGTACTTTGGCCACCTCATGAGAAGAGAAGACTCCCTGGAAAAGACCCTGATGTTGGGAAAGATGGAGGGCACAAGGAGAAGGGGACGACAGAGGACGAGATGGCTGGACAGTGTTCTCGAAGTGACCAGCATGAGTCTGACCAAACTGCGGGAGGCAGTGGAAGACAGGAGTGCCTGGTCCATGGGGTCATGTAGAGTCGGACACAACTAAATGACTAAACAACAACAACAAGGACCAACCCGTATCCCGCGAGGCCTCTTTCGGCAGCCCTTGGCAACGCTGGGAAAAAAAACATCTTAAAGCCTGAAAAAGTTCATGCATGCCACCACAGCAGCAAGATTTCTTGTGGCGAGGAAGTGGAAAAACGAAACAATCACAGATTGGCAGATACTCATGTTAGAATATTTACAACTAGCAAAACTGACGGGGAAGAGTTAGAGGAGCATTGAACCAGAAAATATTTGGAGAATGGAGAATATTTAAGGATTGTATAAGATCATATTGTACCAACCACAACATATTAGCAGAACTTGAGTGATACTTGTAAACACAACAAATACCGTTGGTGGAGTAGACGGGAACAATATTAAAGAATATAAAACTGGGCGGGGGAAACGACGACAGTATAAACAGTACAATGATTGGAAGACTTGTTTTGTCAGAAGTCTTTTTTATTTAAGTGTTTATTTAAGTATTAATTAGGAAGATTGAGTTTTTTTATGCACGTAAATCTGCTTTTTCTTCTTTCTTTTTTCTGTACTTTCTTTTCTTTTTTCTTAATTTTTTTCTTTAATTTTCTTTTGTAGTATGCAATTGTAAATTCTTTGCATATGTGTGTAATTTAAATTAATAAAGATTATTAAAAAAAATAAAAAATAGATATTTTGTGTCATAGGTTGTTAACACACACACATACACACATATTTTGTGTATTAAATTGGTTTAACATTTAAATACGGTATATTAAACCTGTTGTGCATTTAATACACACACAATTTCTCTCTCTATAAATGGCATATATTGTATGTTATGAAATATATTTTAATTTACATTACAGAAATTTAATTCAGGGTGCGGCCCACAAGTACAGTGGTACCTTGATTCTCAAACTCACATCCGCTCTGGAAGTCCGTTCGACTTCCAAAACGTTCGCAAACCAAAGCACGGCTTCTGACTGGCTGATTGGCCCTGGAAAGCTGCCTTCCGATGTCTTCCAAAAGTCAGATAGTTGTTTATTTCCTTGACATCCGATTCTTGCTGCACACTTGGTCTGAGACGTTGGACCGCCCTGCCAGTACACTGATCAAAAAGCCACATTTCCCTAACACAACAGGTGAATGGAACGTTAAGAGGATAGCATAATTATAAGAAGGAAAACTGATGCAACATACTCCCTGCCCGCCTGCAACCTGATTTAGATCATTGATCCATCTAGCTCAGTACTGTATACCTGAAGGAGCGTCTCCACCCTCATCGTTCAGCCCGGACACTGAGGTCCAGCGCCGAGGGCCTTCTGGCGGTTCCCTCCCTGCGAGAAGTGAGGTTACAGGGAACCAGACAGAGGGCCTTCTCGGTAGTGGCGCCCGCCCTGTGGAACCGCCCTCCCTTCAGATGTGAAGGAAATAAGCAGCTATCCTATCTTTAAAAGACATCTGAAAGCAGCCCTGTTTAGGGAAGTTTTTAATACTTAATGCTGTACTGTTTTTAACATTTCATTGGGAGCCGCCCAGAGTGGCTGGGGAAACTCAGCCAGATGGGAGGGGTACATATAAATTATTATTATTATTATTATTATTATTATTATTATTATTTACACTGACCGGCAGGTGCTCTTCACCATTTCAGATAGAGGTCTCCCCCAGCCCGGGGGTCTGAATCTGGGACTTCTGAAGGCAAGGCAGACGTTTTACCCCTAAGCTAGGGCCTTTCGCCTACACAAGCTCTGCATCTTCCCCCTTCTGCGCTGAGGTGTACATGACTTGCGCCATGTCCCTCTGCCAAACCTGGCCCACACATCCGCCTGAAACCTTCTCACCTGCTTCTCTTTCTTATTTATATATAATTTTCATTGAATTTTCTGTTTTACTATTTAAAACCCGCATTTAAACATCCTTAAAATTTCAGCGACTTCCCTTCTTCTCTTTCCATGGTTCATTTTGCATAACATAAGTCGCTGCATATTTTACAAAAACTAAACCACTCAGTATTCCATTATTACATCCATCAAAATTTATTTACAAAATTTATCTGAATTCTGTACATTTTCAAGTGTACAGAATTCCCCCCCACCATATATTCAATAAACATTTTCCAATCTTCTCTAAACGTATGTTCTTCTTGCTCTCTTATTCTTTATGTTAAGTCTGCAAGCTGCACATATTCTATCAGCTTAAGTTGCCATTGTTCTCTGGTTGGGACCTCGATGGTTTTCCATTTTGGGGCTAACAAAACATGAGCCGGAGTAGTGGCATACATAAATAACATTTTCTGACACCTGGGAATTTCCAGCTGAATTATCCCCAACAAAAAGGACTCTGGTTTTTTGGGGGAAAGTGCTTTTGAACATTTTTTTCAATTCATTATGGATCATTTCCCAATACTCTTTTACATGTCCACCACATGTGGAAGAAAGTTCCCTCCACCTCTTTGCATCTCCAACACTTATCTGATTCAGCCTTAAAGATCTTAGCAAGCCTCCTCAGAGTTAAATACCATCTGTAAATCATTTTTACAGATTTACAAAAGGAGCGTCTCCACCCCCACCGTTCTGCCCGGACACTGAGGTCTAGCTCTGAGGGCCTTCTGGCGGTCCCCTCACTGCGAGAAGCCAAGTTACAGGGAACCAGACAGAGGGCCTTCTCGGTGGTGGCACCCATCCTGTGGAACGCCCTCCCATCAGATGTCAATGAGATAAACAACTACCTGACATTTAGAAGACATCTGAAGGCAGCCCTGTTTAGGGAAGCTTTTAATGTTTAACAGACCACTGTATTTTAATACTTTGTTGGAAGCCGACCAGAGTGGCTGGGGAAGCCCAGTCAGATGGGCGGTGTATAAATAATAAATTATTATTATATTATTATTTTTATATTTTCCTCCTCACCTGCTTCTCCATCCTTTCGGCATCCTTCTGGAGGAAGTCCTCAGCCAGGGCCACTGCCTGGGCACATGTATCTGGCCCCCACTGCCTGACCCAGCTCTGGACGTCGGCTGGAAGGATGGCCAGGAACTGCTCCAGGATCAGCAGCTCCAGGATCTGCTCCTTGGAGTGCCTCTCGATCTTCAGCCACGCCTGGCAAAGGTCCCGGAGCTGCCTATGGGCCCCTCTCGGCCCCTTGGCCTGCTGGTAGCAGAAGCCCCTGAACCGCTGCCGCTGCTTCTCCTGCCTCAGGGCATCCCAGCGCAAGATGGCCGCCTTCACTTTCCCATAATCCTCTCTGTCTCGGGCTTCGAGTGCAAGGAAAGCCTGCTTGGCTCCACCGCCGAGGGCCGGCAGGAGTCGGGCTGCCCACTCCTCCCGGGGCCACCGGCAGGCTTCGGCCACTTGCTCAAAGGTGGCCAGGAAGGCCTTGGGGTCGCCCCATGGCTTGGGCTCCTCCGGCAACGGGCCAGTGGGGCTGAGGGGCTGAGGGGCCTCCACCATCTTCAGGAACTCCTGCCACTGGGCTTCCCAGTGTTGAAGCAAACCCTCGCAGGGCTCTTGTTTAACTAAGTTTGCGTCTGGTGTTTTTGGGACGACTTCTCCGACGGTCTCATGGGGATCCTTTCCGCTGCCGTCCAGCGCCTCCCCTTGCAGACAGCTTCCTGGGTCCATTTTCATGCCGGTTCCACCTCGGCTGGCAGCCCGAGGGACTCAGAGTAACCCAGAGAGTCGTGGTGGTTGATGCTGCCACATTCTAGGGGTCGCTCCCTGGGTATAGCAAAGAAAGATCACAGAATCGTAAAAAAAGGCAAGAATATTTTGCCTGATGTGGGGCTCAAACCCACAACCCTGAGATTAAGAGCTTCCTGGTCTGCTCCAGGTCTATTCAATTAAATGGATTTAGAAACCATTTAACATTTCAGAAGTCCCTTAAGTGGTGTGTACCACGTACGATTAAATGAACAGGGTCTCTATTACAACAAAATTAGAACCTAAAAGCCAAAAATCCGGCAGAATTTAGAGCAAACCCATCAAAATAAATGGGCCCAAGTGCTTTTTTTCTAAAAAAATGTTTAGGGGTACTCTCATTTTGACTCCATTTTATAGCTCAAATTGGGGAAAATAAATACAGTAAATGGACAAAAGTACAAAGATTCACAAAATGTTTAGGGGTATGTGTACCCTTGTGTACCCCCAGGGAAAAAAAACACTGCTCATGGCCATAATTCCTGATAGATCGACTGACATTTATTTTATGCATTGTACAAAATCCAATCTTTTTTCGTTGCTGCATCATGAAGTGCCAAGGCACTGTTAAAACATAAAACACTGGGGGTTTTTTTTAAAAAAAGTAAAGTGACCAGCTAATTCAGAATACAGTGGTACCTCTGGATACGAACCACCCACTTTGCGAATGCTTCGGGCTACGCACGTGGCAAACCCGGAAGTAAAGGAAAGGTTTCCACCGCCCGCGTCTGCGCAGATCAGCGCGCCTCTGGATACGAATGTTTCAGGGTAACTAAGTTCGTATCCAGAGGTACCACTGTAGAAGTCAAACAGCTACAAAGGCCTGTTAGCATTAAAAAAAAGTGTCTTCAGGAAAAGTCAGGAAGTTAAAAGTGAGGATGTTTGCCAGACCCCTGCCCCTGTACAGTGGTACCTCACAAGACGAATGCCTCGCAAGACAAAAAACTCGCTAGACGAAAAGTTTTTTTTTTGTTTTTTGAGCTGCTTTGCAAGACGATTTTCGCTATGGGCTTGCTTCGCAAGACGGAAACGTCTTGCAAGTTTGTTTCCTTTTTCTTAACACCGTTAATACAGTTGCGACTTGACTTCGAGGAGCAACTCATAGAACGCGGTGTGGTAGCCTTTTTTGAGGTTTTTAAAGACTTTGGTGATTTTTGAAGCTTTTCCAAAACTTTCCCGACACCGTGCTTCGCAAGACGAAAAAAATCGCAAGACGACAAAACTTGTGGAACGAATTAATTTCGTCTTGTGAGGCACCACTGTACACATATATATCAGGATCATGGACCACTTATAAACACCATCTCCAACTCCTCGAAAGATTCCAGCAACAGTGTCTCCGAAAAATTTTACACATCACTTGGGAAGACAGACGAACTAATCCCAGTGTACTGGAAGAAGCAAAGATCACCAGTGTTGAAGCAATGATTCTTCAACATCAACTTCGCTGGACTGGTCATGTTGTGCGGATGCCTGATGATCGTCTTCCAAAGCAACTACAGTGGAACCTCTGGTTACGTACTTAATTCGTTCCGGAGGTCCGTTCTTAACCTGAAACTGTTCTTAACCTGAAGCACTACTTTAGCTAATGGGGCCTCCTGTTGCCACTGCACCGCCACAGCACAATTTCTGTTCTCATCCTGAAGCAAAGTTCTTAACCCGAGGTACTATTTGTGGGTTAGCAGAGTCTGTAACCTGAAGCGTATGTAACCTGAAGCGTATGTAACCCGAGGTACCACTGTACTCTATTCCAAACTTAAAAATGGAAAGCATAATGCTGATGGTCAACAAAGGAGGTTCAAAGACTGTCTCAAGGCAAATCTTTAAAAATGTAGTATACACACTGACAACTGGGAGACACTGGCCTGCGAGTGCTCCAGTTGGAGAACAGCCTTTACCAAAGGTGTCATGGGCTTTGAAGACACTCGAACTCAGAACGCAATGGAGAAATGTGCTAGGAGGAAGGCACGCTTGGCAAATCCACACCGTGATCAACTCCCACCTGGAAACCAATGTCCCCACTGAGGAAGGACATGTGGGTCCAGAATTTCCTCCACAGTCACTTATGGACTCACTGTTAAGACTGTGTTCATGGAAGACAATCTTACTCGGCTACAAGTGATCGCCGAAGAAGATATATCAGGATCAGACCGCTTCCCATAAAGTATCCTGGGAACTATAATTTGTTAGCGGTGCTGAGAGTTTTAGGGCATCCTCTAGTCTCTCCTTGTTGTGCTACAGTTCCCAGAGTCGAAAGGGGCCCTGGGGGTCGTGCAGTAATTATAATTGCAGCGTTGTTGCCTCCAAAATAAGGAGCCAGGGCACAGGGCAGAAGAGGCTCCGCTAACATCACGGCAAAGGCCCCAAAGATGCTGGCTAGTGATCCCTCCATGCCGCTTAATTGCCCAAACCTGTAAAACAACCTAAACAACATGTCACTAGATAAGGCAGGAGGCTGTTCTGTACATTGTGCTGCTTCTTCCCTTTCAAGCTGCTGCAGTTTGCAAAGTCAACACAAATCAATTTTTCGCCTTCTCCTTGACAACTCATCATTTGAGGCCAGGACAACAGGGATGATTATCATACATAACAACAGCAACAACAATAACACAGCACCTTTTCAAGCAATAATAATAATAATAATAATAATAATAATAATAATAATAATACAACAACAACAAAGCACTTTTTCAAGCAATAATACAGCTGCATGGCTTTCTCCATAAGAATAAATATGATTTGGATACAATGGAGGACTGTAAATTGGATTGACCTAAAATATGCAGCTAAAAAGGTTACTTAAAGAACCCATGAGGGTGGGGGGAGTCCTAAGATTCGGAAGAATCTTGTGTAAAATTCTAATATGTGCAAGAATATTATTGGTGTGAACGAATTTGTAAAATCAAATAATACGCAGGAATAAATATGATTGCACAGCAGCACAGTCGTCAAATAAAACAGCGGTAATACGGCATCAATATGACAATATCGCAGCATTGCCTATTCCAACCTTTTCAAGTGAATTCTTCTAATAAGAAGACTAATATGGCAGCAGAGTCGTCTGGCGCAGCTTTTCAGCGGCGGTTTGCCGTGCAGAAATCTGCAAAGGAGCCTTTTCCCCAGCCCACCACTCTCCTCCCCAAACAGGAACACGCGACCCTCCCCTAGATGCTGGGAGAGGGGAGGGAGGAACCCCCTGATTGTCTCTTTCGCTAATTAGCGCCCCCCCCGCACGCAGTCCCCCTCCCCCGAGCCCAGCCCCGTTTCCTCCCCGGGAATCTCCGTGCACCAAACCAGGCGCGCAACGCGTGTGTACACATACACACATACACACACACACACACACACACCACTTTTCCAGACGCGGGAGGGGGAGAGGGGCTTCTGCGTTCAAAAGCATCCCGTGTTGCAGCGTCCTTGCTAGGCATCGCAGCCTCTTTCTGCTTTAACTCTTTCTGCATCTCTCTCTCCCTCTCACCCCTATTTACAGGTAGGTAGTCGTGTTGGTCTGCGGTAGTCGAAACAAACAAACAAAATTTCCTTCCAGTAGCACCTTGTTATTGTTGTTGTTTAGTCGTGTCCGACTCTTTGTGACCCCGTGGACCAGAGCACGCCAGGCCCTCCTGTCTTCCACTGCCTCCCGCAGTTTGGTCAAACTCATGCTGGTAGCTTTGAGAACACTGTCCCACCATCTCGTCCTCTGTCGTCCCCTTCTCCTTGCGCCCTCCATCTTTCCCAACATCAGGGTCTTTTCCAGGGAGTCTTGTCTTCTCATGAGGTGGCCAAAGGATTGGAGCCTCAGCTTCACAATCTGTCCTTCCGGTGAGCACTCAGGGCTGATTTCCTTCAGAATGGATGCGTTTGATCTTCTTGCAGTCCATGGGACTCTCAAAAGTCTCCTCCAGCACCAGAATTCAAAAGCATCAATTCTTCGGCGATCAGCCTTCTTTATGCTCCAGCTCTCACTTCCATACATCACTACTGGGAAAACCATAGCTTTTACTATACGGACCTTTGTTGGCAAGGTGATGTCTCTGCTTTTTAAGATGCTGTCTAGGTTCGTCATTGCTTTTCTCCCAAGAAGCAGGCGTCTTTTAATTTCGTGACTGCTGTCACCACCCCTTTTATTTGCCAGGAGGTGATGGGCCCAATGGCCATGATCTTCGTTTTTTTGATGTTGAGCTTCAGACCATATTTTGCGCTCTCCTCTTTCACCCTCATTAAAAGGTTCTTTAATTCCTCCTCACTTTCTGCCATCAAGGTTGTATCATCTGCATATCTGAGGTTGTTGATATTTCTTCCAGCAATCTTAATTCCGGCTTGGGATTCATTCAGCCCAGCCTTTCACATGATGAATTCTGCAATAAGCAGGGAGACAATATATGGCCTTGTCGTACTCCTTTCCCAATTTTGAACCAATCAGTTGTTCCATATCCAGTTCTAACTGTAGCTTCTTGTCCCACGTAGAGATTTCTCAGGAGACAGATGAGGTGATCAGGCACTCCCATTTCTTTAAGAACTTGACATAGTTTGCTGTGGTCGACACAGTCAAAGGCTTTTGCATAGTCAATGAAGCAGAAGTTGATGTCTTTCTGAAACTCTCTAGCTTTCTCCATAATCCAGTGCATGTTTGCAATAGCACCTTAGAGACCAACTAAGTTTGTTCTTGGCATGTGCTTTCATGTGCATGCACACTTCTTCAGATACACTGAAACAGAAGTCACCAGGCCCTTATATATAAGCGAGAGGGTGGGGAGGGGTATTACTCAAAAGGGTGGTGGGAATGGGTGATTGGCTGATAGGTGTGGTAAACCTGTTGAGGACTGTTAACGACTGCAATTGGTCTTACAGGAAAAAGCAAGGGGTGAGATGGCTAAAAGGTCTCTCCAGTCTGAGACAGACTCTCTTTCCAGTCTATCAGGAATCACAAGACAGAGAAACCAGTAGGAGGACACTTCAATTTCCCAGGACATTCTATACAAGATCTCAAAGTATCTGTCTTCTTACAAAAGAATTTCAGAAATAGACTGGAAAGAGAAGTTGCTGAATTGCAACTTATTACCACACTTAATAGTGTAGGGGAGAAACCCTACAAATGCTTGGAGTGTGGGAAGAGCTTTTGTGACAAGAGAACCTTAATAGACCATCAAGGAAACCACACAGGGGAGAAACCCTATACATGCTTGGAGTGCGGGAAAAGGTTTAACTGGAAGAGGAGCTTCACTGTCCATCAGAGAAATCACGTGGGAGGGAAACCCTACACATGCCCGGAGTGTGGAAAAAGCTTCACGTGGAAGAAAAGCCTCACTATCCATCAGCGATTTCACACGGGGGAGAAGCCCTATAAATGCCTGCAGTGCGGGAAAAGCTTCACGAAGAAGGGGCACTTCACTGGTCATCAGAGATCTCACACAGGGGAGAAGCCCTGCAAATGCCTGCAGTGCAGGAAAAGCTTCACGCAGACAGCACATCATACCACACATCAGAGATCCCACACGGGGATAAAGCCATATAGCTGCCCGGAGTGCGGGGAAAGCTTCAGTGTGAAGGCAACTCTCCGTTCCCATCAGAGATCCCACACGGGAGAGAAGCCCTATAAGTGCCCAGAGTGCGGGAAAAGCTTCAGCGTCCTCTCGAACCTTCGAAGGCAAGAAAGGATGCACTGCGGGGAGGAGCCATACAACTGTTTTGAGTGCGGGAAGAGCTTCAGCGACGGGGCGAGTCTGGCTGACCACCAGGGACGTCACATGGGGCAGAAACCGTATCCGTGCCCAGAGTGTGGGAAAAGCTTCATGCAGAAGAAAAGTCTTGCTGTGCATCAAATGGGTCACGCGGGAGAAAAGCCATACAAATGCCAGCAATGTGAGAAAAGCTACAATTACAGGAAAAACCTCACCGACCACCAGCGACGTCATACGGGAGAATAACAGGAACACATGGAGCTTATGGGGGAAATGTTGTCATCGAAAGGCAAGCCTCACTGCACATCAGAGAACCTGCACAGGGTGGCTTAGGAGTCAACTCCTAATAATAAATCATAAATTTTTATTTATACCCCGCCCCTCCTGGGTCAGAAAATCAGGCTCAGGGCAGCTAGCAACAAATTTAAAACAATTGATGCAACAAAAAACAGCATAAAATACAGTATAAAACGTGAATAACAATAAATTCAGAATTCAAAAATCAATTTAGGGGGGAAGTCCATCCAATAAACATTAGTTGATCACCAGGGCTAGCTGGCTAAATTAGTCCTATTTGGACCAGCGAAGAGACCAGGGGAGAATTAGCTGTGGGATCCCAGAGCAGGTAATCTTCATAAAAAGGGGAGAGGGAGGGAAGGAAGGGGAATAAAAGATCAGGCTAAATTCAAATTGAAAGCCAGGTGGAATAGCTCGGTCTTACAGGCCCCGCGGAAGGAAGTTAAATCCTGCAGGGCCCTGGTCTCAAGGGACAGAGCATTCCACCAGGTCAGAGCCATCACTGAGAAGGCCCTGGCCCTGGTGGAGGATAATCTGGCTTCCTTAGGACCTAGGAGCTGAGGCCCCTTTGCCCCCCCCATAAAATATTTGAGGGGGCTGCCCCCCCCCAAGTTGATGGGCATTGCCATTCAAATGTGTGTGTGCACTGTCTTGTGATCGATTATGTGGTGCGTAGCTTACCTGGGCCCCCTGAAGATTTTATTAGAGTTGGCAAACAGCTGCAGTGTGGAAACCTTCGAAGGCCAGGAGCGTAGAATGAATTTCAGCTCCCCCCCCCCCCAATAATCCTTGGCTCTGTTTCCGAGTGACTGACTGTGGATGTACTGAATCTTAGTCCAGATATCTAGAATGTTGAAGTGTGTGTTTTCAACTTTTTTTAGTTTATCACTAATTTTAATTATTTTAACATTTGTTTCAAAGGGGTCTTTTTTAACCGCATTTCTCATGAGGTGGCCAAAGTCTTGGAGCCTCAGCTTCAGGATCTGTCCTTCCAGTGAGCACTCAGGGCTGATTTCCTACAGAATGGATACGTTTGATCTTCTTGCAGTCCATGGGACTCTCAAGAGTCTCCTCCAGCACCAGAATTCAAAAGCATCCATTCTTCGGCAATCAGCCTTCTTTATGGTCCAGCTCTCACTTCCATACATCACTACTGGGAAAACCATAGCTTTAACTGTACGGACCTTTGTTGGCAAGGTGATGTCTCTGCAAGGGTTAAATGCACCGATGCTTGGAGGCAGATTCCTAGAGAGGAAGGAAGTTGGCGGGAGGAGGCTCTTGGTCCTCCAGAGCGAACCCCCCCCCCTCCCGCCTGGCTGCTCCCTCCTTGGAGACTGGTGCGCAGGGAAGAAGCTAAAGAGTTGTTTGCTGCTGCGCATTGCTTCGAGCAGGGATAAAGTTTTCCCAGCGCAGTGGAAAGAGTTTCCCTTGGTGTTTCCATCTTCAGGGCGGGGGGTGTCTGGTGAGCCCCCTCCCCATTTTCCTGGGTGGAAGACCTGCAGAGGCGCAGTGGAGGCAAGATGGGGCGGGTGGGAAGACCCCTCCGAAGGGTGACTCCTGGGGAGAAAGGGCTTAAAAGCTGCCTTGCACTGAGACAGACCAATGGGGCCACCTAATATTGTCGACACTGGCTGGCAGCAGCTCTCCAGGGTTTCAGGCGGGGGGCGGGGATTGGCATAGAATCATAGAATTGCAGAGTTGGGGGGAAGGAAATGCGTTCTCCCCATATTTAGTTCCCCGCTTGATTTATCCAGCTGCCCCATAGCAGAAGTACTGTGGGAAGGCAGTGTGGTGTAGTGGTGAGAGCAGAGCTTTCCAAATTGTGCCACTCAGCTGCAGTGTGTAGGTGTGTCTTGGGAACGCTTCTCACGTTCTTCCTGGGGCTGGAAAGGATTTCGTTTAACCTCTGATTTGCTAGTAAAACTGAATCAATGTGTCGCACAATGATACGTGTCTTTAAAAGTGTGTCTCCGACGAAAAGCTTAGAATGCTCTGGGTTAGCATGTCAGACCAGGATAAGGGTTCAAACCCCCCACTCCATCACTGGGTGACCTTTGGCAGCCTCACAAGGTCGTTGTAGGGATTAACCAAGGAGTGGGGTGAACTATGTGCCCCTTGGAGAAAAAGTCGGGATATAAATGCAGTAAATGAGAACTTCTGTTGACCTGCAAAAGAAAGATGGAGTGGCCCAGCCAGATGGAGATGTCAGTTGCCAACCATGGCATCCAGAGATCTCCACATGGCCGAAAAGTGCCCAGGGGGTTTCTAGCACTGAGGTGGTGGTAGGAAGACATTCCCACAAGGGGAGCGAAGGCACCCTTGGCTAAGAGCAGGGCCAGGGATGTGGGGAAGAAAAGGCAGGGGAGTGCCTGTGAGGAGGGGCTGAGGGAAATAATATTTCCAATAATATTTGTTGAAGACTGGTAAGACAGAAAGCAGGGCTGCCAGACAGTAAGTAATCCACAACCAATTGCAGGCAGAGCCAAATAATTCTAGTTGCGTCCCCATTTGATACCATTTTAAACGGCCACAGCTTCCCCCAAAGGATTCTGGGAGCAGACATTTGTTAAGGGCTCTGGGAGCTCTTGGGAGATCCCCTATTTCCTCACAGAGCTGCAATTCCCAGAATTCACTGGGAAGAAGGGGGGTTGATTCCTGCATTTGCAGGGGGTTGGGCTAGATGACCCTTGGGTCTCTTCAGCTCTACACTTCTATGAATTTTAAGCCCCTCTGGGAACTGTAGCTTTGTACAGTGGTGCCCTCAAGACGAACGCCTCGCAAGACGGAAAACCCGCTAGACGAAAGGGTTTTCCGTTTTGGAGGCGCTTCGCAAAACGAATTTCCCTATGGGCTTCCTTCGCAAGACAAAAGCCCATAGGGAAATCTCCGGGACAGCGGGGAAGCGCAGCGCGTCTTCCCCACTGTCCTCGGACCTCCTCCGAAGGCTGGCGGCGGGGCGGAGAGACCTCCTCCCGCCGCCAGCCTTCGTTTCTCCGCTATCCCGGACGGCTTTTGAAGGCCTCTTCTGAAAAGTCTTTGCTCCCCCCTGCCTGCCTTCCCGGGGGCTTTTAAATCGCCCCGGGACAGCGGAGAAGTCCTCCGCTGTCCCGGGGCGATTTTAAAATGCTGGCGGGCGTTAAAATGCTGGCGGGCGGCAGCGAAGGCTTCACTGCCGCCCGCCAGCATTTTAAGATCGCCCCGGGACAGCGGAGAAGTCTCCGCTGTCCCGGGGTTTTTTAAAATGCTGGTGGTGGGAAGAAAAGCCCTTGTCCCCCCCCCCCAGCCTTCAGAAGAGGTCGGGGGACAGACTGTCCCCGGACCTGGTCTGAAGGCGGTTTCCATAGGAACGCATTGATTGATTTTCAATGCATTCCTATGGGAAACCGTGCATCGCAAGACGAAAAACTCGCAAGAAGAAAAAACTTGCGGAACGAATTAATTTCGTCTTGCGAGGCACCACTGTAACTCTTAACACAGCAAGAGTTTTCCCCTCACAGACCATCTCTTTCACTTTGCAGGGCTTGGCTTCCTCCCCATCACCACCACATGCGTGGCCAATCTTTGCTGTGAGACAGACTATAGCAGAAGCGACCCTTCAGCCATGTTGGAGCAGGAGCCAAAGTTGCAGGAGCAGGGAGCAACGGGCCCTGAAGCAGGAAGGAGCACCGACACCGTCGGATGTGGGCGCAGCGGGGAATTCTGGGACGGAAATGTGCGGAAGGTCATAATCAAGGAGGAGACCCTCTGCTCAGATGTGCCGTGCCAGCACTTCAGGGGGTTCTGCTACCAGGAGGCTGAGGGACCGCGGGAAGCCTGCAGCCAACTCCACCATCTTTGCCGCGAGTGGCTGAAGCCAGAGAGACACACCAAGGCTCAGATCCTGGACTTGGTGGTCCTGGAGCAGTTCCTGGCTGTCCTCCCCCGGAGATGGAGAACTGGGTGAGGAGATGCAGAGCGGAGACCAGTTCCCAGGCGGTGGCCTTGGCCGAAGGTTTCCTCCTCAGCCACCAAGAGGATGTGAAGCAGGAACGGCAGCAGGTGAGGTGTTCATACCCATGGGGTCCCAATTCAGGTTTGACCGCCAGACCACCAGCCTTGGAATCTGGAACCCGGCCTTGGTCCAATTCTGCAGCCCTTGTTCCTCTGGGATAAACCATAATCTCCAGATTCCCAGGTGTCATTTTTCTTATAAAAAAAAGTAAATTCCTAGCGTTTTAAGAAACTGAGGCAAAAACATAAACACAATTCTTCCATTTTTTGTTGAGAAATTAGCCCGCTTCATCCTTAACGGCGTTTTCCTTTGACTGCCCCACACTGGGGAAAATCTGCCCCAGAAAACATTTCGTGGACGTGTGTGTGTGTGTGTGTGAGAGAGAGAGAGAGAGAGAGAGAGAAACAGAAAGAGAAATTGAAATTGAAATACTTTATTGTCACTTGTACAACTTGTATACAGTGAGATTACACGAACACCCCCACTCAGCTCTCTTAGTCTTAATTCCCCTCGTTTACTGACGCACACCCACCAAACCCGAAAGTCAGTTGCCCTGTTGTTATCTTTTCATTCAGCAGCCTAACAGCCCACGGATAGAAGCTGTTCTTTACCCTGTTGGTGCGACTAATCATGCTTCTATATCTTCTGCCCGAGGGCAGGAGATCAAGAAAGTGCTGGCCAGGGTGTGAATCATCCCTGAGAATTTTCCTCACTCTCCTGAGGCAACATTCTTCCGCTATTTCATCCAGTGGATTCACGGGACAGCCCATAATATCTTGTGCTGTATTCACCACCCTCTGTAGGCACTTCCTATCAGATGATGTCAAACCAGCATACCACACCGTGATGCAGTATGAAAGGACACTTTCTATTGTGGACCGGTAGAAGGAGATCATCAAATTTTGATTGACATCATTCTTCCACAATACTCTGAGGAGAGCAGGAGAGATGGATTTGGGGTGGGAGGGATGAATATGTGAATCGTGAGAGGTTTGTGTGTGAGAGTCCATGAGAATGGTGTGGTCACCTTGTAAAAAGGTAAAAGGTAAAGGACCCCTAAGTCCAGTCAAAGGTAAGTGGTCCAAACCACTGAGCCTCTTGGGCAGGGGTCAGCAAACTTTTTCAGCAGGGGGCCAGTCCACTGTCCCTCAGACCTTTTGGGGGGCTGGACTATATTTGGGGGGCGGGCATGAACGAATTCCTATGCCCCACAAATAACCTAAAGATGCATTTTAAATAAAAGGGCACATTCTACTCACGTAAAAACACCAAGCAGACCCCACAAATAACCCAAAGAGGCATTTTAAATAAAAGGGCACTTTCTACTCATGTAAAAACTCGCTGATTCCCAGACCGTCTGCGGGCTGGATTGAGAAGGTGATTGGACCAGATCCGGCCCCCGGGCCTTAGTTTGCCTACCCATGCTCTTGGGCTTGCCGATCAGAAGCTCAGCAATTCAAATCACCGTCACGGAGTGAGCTCCCGTTGCTTTCCCAGCTCCTGCCAACCTAGTAGTTCGAAAGCACACCAGTACAAGTAGATAAATAGGTGCCACTGCGTCAGGAAGGTTAACGGTGTTTCTGTGCGCTTTGGCTTCCGTCATGGTGTCCCGTTGCACCGGAAGCATTTTAGTCCTGCTGTCCTCATGACCCGGAAAGCTGTCTGTGGACCAACACCATGACAGTGGAAAAACTAACCACCGCTTTTTAATGGAATGGCCCTCAGAAGCGTTTTTTAATCCACACTCACACATCCCTATTGTAACCCTACTTGGTCTTTGTATTTCAGGGCCTGTTTGCAGAAGAAGCCACTGACTTCTCCGAGGTACAGAATGCGGCCCCAGTGGACTCTCGGCAGAGGCTTCTGTCCAAGCTGGATTAAGCAGGAGGAGGATGAAGGCGTCACTTTGCGGAGTAAGGGCTAACAGGATAAAATATCAGCTTGGTCTCCCTCTCGCCATGACGGCTCCATGCTCTCGCTCCACAATCTGAGGCAGTACATTCCACTGAATAACAATTGTTGGGGGTCGCAAGCGGAGAGGATGCTGTTGTGCTTAGTTTCTGCTTGCGGGGGACGCTTCCTGTAGGTATCTGGTTAGCCACCTTGAGAACAGGATTTTGGCCCAGACCAGACCAACACATTTCACTAGACACGTGTTAGTAATTTGTTGTTGTTGTTGTTTTAAATACAGTGGTACCTCGCAAAACGAATGCCTCGCAAGACGAAAGAGTTTTTGGTTTTTTGAGTTGCTTCGCGAGACGAATTTCCCTATGGGCTTGCTTCGCAAGACGGAAACGTCTTGCAAGTTTGTTTCCTTTTTCTTAAAACCGTTACAGTAATACAGGGTACATTGCTTGAAGAGGTGCAGTTGCGACTTGACTTCGGGGGGGAGCAACTCATAGCATGCGGTGCGGTAGCCTTTTTTGAGGTTTTTGAAGATTTTTTTGAAAAAATTGAAACCGTGCTTCGCAAGACGAAAAAACTCGCAAGACGAAAAAACTCGCAGAACGAATTAATTTTGTCATGCGAGGCACCACTGTAGTTTTATTTGATTTTACAAGTTAAGAAAATAATAACAATACAACCATACATATCCACATTTACAGGTTCCTCCGAATCTCCAGACTTTCCACCTCCCCTCCATTTGTCCTATTATCAAACCTTTTCTACTGCATCTTTACCAATAATCTATATTTTATATAACTCCATTGTCTCCCTAGTACTTGCTACACTACAATTGTTATTACAATCCTGCTAATATTTTCATCTGCTTACAGTGGTCTCCAAGATAACTTATCAAATTTTCCCATTCTTTTTTAAAGTTTTGGTCTTCTTGGTTTCTGAGCTTTCCAGTCAGTTTTGCCATTTCGGCCCAGTCCAACAGTTTAATTTGCCATTCTTCTCTGGTAGGGACTTTATCATTTCCATCTCTGGGCTAATAGCATCCATGCGGCTGTCGTCGCATACATAAAAAAGTATTTTCTGCTCCCTTGGAATATCAGCACCTATAATTCCTAATAAAAAAAACTTCTGGGTTTTAAAAATAATAATAATTTGAACATTTGTTTCATCTCATTATATATCAGTTCCCAGAATGCTTTTATTACATTTACAACAGATATTTGATAGTAATTTCTTGATCATCCTTATATCTTTGTACCCCTCATAGGAGATGTGCCAAGTATGCCAGTTATATGTTCTACCTCATCTCTCCCTTCCGGTCCAATGGAAGTGGTTTCTGGGCAACCGGATCAGGTAAGAGGCGGGATCTCTGGAGTGACAGCCCTGGGATTCTCTGACTTCCTCTGCCTGCTGCCTGTCTCCCTCTTCCTGAAAGAATCTACATCTTTCCCTTTCCATCTGTCAGAGTTGCCCACTGCAATGCCACTCCCTAAAGGCCCAATTCCCCCATTATTCCCCTGGAGGAATCAGCTGTTGGACCACGCTTAGCAGCGGGAGAACTGTCAAGGGACACATACAAAGAGTTAATGCTTTGCTTATTGTTTTATTTATTAAATTTATATAGTGCCCTGCATCCAAAGATCTTTGGGCGGTTCGCAAGAGAAAACTTTCTTGTCTATTTACAGTTGCCCTGTATCTTTGTACTTTTGTCCTTCCAGGCTGCGACACCGTATCGTTTAAAACTTTTGATTATTTCCCCCCCTGTTCTTACGTTTGCCCTTTTGCTGTTGTTAATAAAATAAATGTTATTAGTAATCATTTGAAAAAAGAAACTGGAAAAACCTCACACCAAACCCTGGTTCATGCTAACCATACTTTAGAAACAAAGCTATGATTCGATACAGGCTAACCATTGTCTAGAGCAGTGGTTCCCAACCTTTTTTTTGACCATGCCCCACCTAAGCATCCCTAAAATCCTGATCCGCCCCCCCCCCGTGCCATATAATTCTTATTACAGTGGTACCTCAGGTTAAGAACTTAATTCGTTCTGGAGGTCCATTCTTAACCTGAAACTGTTCTTAACCTGAAGCACCACTTTAGCTAATGGGGCCTCCTGCTGCCGCCGTGTGATTTCTGTTCTCATCCTGAAGCAAAATTCTTAACCCGAGGTACTATTTCTGGGTTAGTGGAGTCTGTAACCTGAAGCATCTGTAACCCGAGGTACCACTGTATTCAAAAGGTGAACTCCTATTCGTGTGGAGGAAGGCTAAAAGCCCATTAACTGTTAATAACTCATTCTCAAATTGCCCCCCCTGTGGGAGGTGTGCCCCACATTGGGAACCACAGGTCTAGAGAGTTGCTGTTGCATTAACTGTTAAGAGAATAAGAACTGCTGCATTCTCTCTCTCTCTCCCTCTTTCTCTCTTTGTTTCCCTTCCTTCCTTCCTTCCTTCCTTCCAGGTTTCTTTTGAGGAAGTGCCTGTACATTTCACCGAAAAGGAGCATGCCCTGCTTCATCCAGGCAAAATCACCGTGCACCGCAAAGAATCCATGGCTGAGAATTCTGGGGTTGTGGCCTCTCAGCCTAAGTGCCCGAAAATCTCCAGCGGGAAGAGGACTTTAACCGACCACCACCAAGGAAATCACGCGGGGAAGAAACCGTACACCTGCCTGGAGTGCGGGAAAAGCTTCACGCGCAAGAGAAGCCTCACTATCCACCAGAGAAATCACACAGGGGAAAAGCTGTACAACTGCTTGGAGTGCGGAAAGGGCTTCACGCAGAAGGGGCACTTCATTACACACCAGAGATCTCACACGGGGGAGAAGCCCTTCCAATGCTTGGAGTGCGGGAAAAGCTTCGCGCAGAAGGGGCACTTCACGGCCCATCGAAGATCCCACACAGGGGAAAAGCCGTACACGTGCTCCGAGTGCGGGAAGAGCTTCACGCAGACGACGCACCTCTCCACACACCTGAGATCTCACACAGGGGTAAAACCGTACACTTGCTTGGAGTGCGGGAAAAGCTTCAGCGTCAAGGCGACGCTTCGATCCCACCAGAGATCTCACACGGGAGAGAAGCCCTACAAATGCCCGGCGTGTGGAAAAAGCTTCAGCATGCTGGCGAACCTTAGGAGACACGAGAGAATCCACGCCGGGGTGAAGCCGTACAAATGCTTTGAGTGCGGGAGGAGCTTCTGTAAGAAGGCCAGCCTAACTGACCATCAAGTAAGTCACACAAAGGAAGAACAAGTGGTGTACAAATTCTTTTAAATAAAACGAAACCTCCACGCGCAGACGGGAAGAGCTTTGCGCAGAAGAAAACCCTTGCCGTACGTCAGATGAGTCACACAAGGGCTAAAGCGACATAAATGCCGGCTGTTTGGGGAAAGCATAAATAATTACAGGAAGTGCATCGCTCCTCATTGATGAATCAACACAATGTAGAAAGCGCACAAATGCACAGAGTGTGGAAAAAGCTTTCCTTGGAAGACGAGCCTCACTGCACATCAGAGAATCCACCTTAGAAAGTCAAGAGGGTAGAATGACCTTGAGGTCTAATAAGGCCCTTGAATCAGTTTCCAAACAGCTGATGGGGTGAATGAACTGACAGTATGGGGGATACTATTGGCAGGAGTTAGGAATGTAAGAAGAGATTGCTGGATCAAGCCAATGGCCCCTCTAATCTGGCATCCCATTCTCACGGTGGCCAACTAGATGCCTTGGAGAAACCAGCAAGCAGGATTCGAACACAAGAGCACTCCCCCCTCCTGTGGCCTGCAGCAACTGGCATTCAGAGGCATTCCAGGCTCAGTTCAAAGTGTGGCTGTTGACCTTTTAAAAGGCCGAACAGCCTGGGAAACAGAGTATTGCCTCCGTGCCCACAAATGTCGTGACACTTTGGGCACGAGCATGGAACATACGAGTCGATTCCTGGCAGGGCAGGTGTTATGACTGGGTCCGCAATAGCTCACTAGGTTTCAGTGATGTTAAACCCTTTAGTCAAAGAAACAAAACAGTCCGGGCCTAGTGAGCCACAGCTGCTCTTCCTGGTAGATCTTGACCCAAGAAGGCCGTTGCGAGGACTGAAGGTTTCTTCCAAGCAATCGGAGACTGCGCCAGCAAGCAGCCCGCCTTTGCTCTTCCCATTTCATACCTCTTCTGGTTCCGGGAGTCAGGGAAGCCTGTCGCAGCAGGAGGGGGAGACTCCCTGGCTTCCTCACAAGCCTGACTCATCTCTCCCTCTTCTCCAGCCTCTGCTTCTGCCTCTGATTCTGGGCTTCTCTCTGCCACAGATTCTCCCCGCTCACTAAGCCCCGTTGCCTCTTCAGCTTCTGGCACCTCCACTTCCCCGTCTTCTCCCTGTGATCATTTACTGTCGTCCCACCACCAATTCCCGGGCTCTGAGCCTTCTTCCCTTGGGGGTTCCGCAGCTGGTTCCTCTCCCCGTTCCTCTGCGTCCAACCAGCCCATGACATTCCTCGACCAAGAGAACTTGTAGCTCATTATTGAATTACTAAATACTAACTCGTTTTTGCCTTATTTCCCCTTTGGTATGTGAATAATAATTAGCGAATCCGAACATTCCTCTCTCTCCCCCTGATCTTTTTTTTAAATAATCTTTTTTATTGATCTTCAAATATATAAACATACAGCATAAAACAGTACAAAATCCAAATATGGAGATTGCTCTGAATCTCCTGACTTCCCCCGTCCCTTTCATGGGTCCTTTTAATTCTATTTTCAGCTGCATATCAGTACTTCTCCAATTTTTCACCTTCCTAAGTTATCTCTACGTTCTGTTACATTACTAGTGTATTTAAAATCCTGCCATCGTTTGACCAGTTTATAATGATTCTGCATATACTTTATAAACATTTCCCATTCTTTTTTAAATTTATTGTCTTTTTGATTCCTGAGCGTCCCAGTTAATTTTGCCATTTTGGCCTAGACCATCAACTTGATTTGCCATTCTTCTCTGGTCAGGGCTGTCTCCTCTCCCTCTGATCTTTTCTTTCTGCTTTCTGTTCCGTAACTTTATATGCAAGGTGGTGGTTTTTTAAGTTTTTATGATGGTGTTTTAATGGTGGGTCTTTGGGGCGGTTGTCATTGTTATTGTTGTTTGGTAAGTTGTATCGCTGTATGTTTGTATAGTTCTTTTGAATATGCTTGTAAGCAACCCTGGAATTGGGAGCTGGGGGATAAATGTCCTGAATAAACAGAACTTCCATCCTTCGTTGATTCTCCAAACTGACATCCCCACACCACCTAAGCTTCTGAACTTGGAACGTAAGAAGTTGTCAGATTGTTAGTTCATTAACGGACTTCAAAACTCCTGATCGGCTGATGTCAGGTGATTGACAGGCAGGCAACTCTGTCCCCCCTCTGAATTTTTGCCTGTCTATGTGCTGGGCTCTGATAAGGATTTTGGACCCTCTGGCAAAAATGGGTTCCCAACCCTTGGTTCAGAACCGTTTCTCTGTCGCTGTGAGCAAACACTTGTCTACCCAGCTATACTTTCCACAAAACCTCTGGAGGACCCCAGCTGAACAGAGGGCTGTCTTGGGTGCGAGATCAGCTTGCCTGAGTTTTCGAAGGAGGTGCACAGAGGCAGCTGACCAGATGCTCGTCTGGATTGGTAGAACCCACGTTCCAGTGGGGGACACGACTCAGAAGGCAGCGTGGTGCAATAGTTAGAGCTGGGAGTCCTCCAGCACAGCCCTCAAATCCCCACCCAGCTCCCTTGGTTCCTACAAAAGCTTCCTGCCCATCTTAGCATTCTCCGTGAAAACATTTTATTATCAATACCGCCCCCCCCCCGGACATCCAGAAGACCAATGAAGAAAGCGGGGGGGGTTAGATACTGACCAAGTGAAATAAGGAAATCTTTGTATAATACCAGGGCCCCCAAATACTGTGGGGCCACTGCCCTCTTGGTTTCTTAAATTCATCCCCAGTGCCCCATACCGTATAAAAAGAATTATTCAGAATAGCGGCACTAAGGAAGACGATACAGCTGTACCTTGGTTTTCGAACAGCTTAGTTCTCGAACATTTTGACTCCCAAACGCCACAAACCTGGAAGTGAGTGTTCTGGTTTACGAACTATTTTTGGAAGCCGAACATACGATGGGGCTTCTGCGGCTTCCGATTGGCTGCAGGAGCTTCCTGCAGCCAATCAGAAGCCACGATTTGGTTTCCAAATGTTTTGGAAGTCGAACAGACTTCCGGAACGGATTCCGTTCGATTTCCTTTTATTTATTTATTTATTTATTTATTTATTTTAAAAACGCATACATTTACATTTACACAATACATATATAAACATGCTACCTTATTTTCATAGCATAAAACATACCTACATTACTCTACATATAATACCTAACTATACTATACATATCAACATACCTACACACCTACCTCACGTAGACCCCCACCAAGTGACTTTGATGTCCAGCCGTTCTTGTTACTCTACTCTATTTTTCCAACTAACTTAAACGCATTATGTCTTTGATCTCTTTTTCTATCTTAACTTTACTCTCCGTTCACTGTAATCATTTTCTGGATTCACTCAGTATCTGTCAAAAATTCTACTTTTCCCCACATAGATTTTGATGTGTTCCTTAAAGATAGCCCACTCCTTATTCACTTTTTGTACCATATCTCCTCTTATCCTCCCTCTTAATTTGGCAGTATGGAAGTATTCCATCATTTTAGATAGCCAGTCTGTTATAGTTAGGGTGCTGCTGCTTTCCATTCGATTTCCAAGGTACGACTAATGCAAAAAAATAAATAAAAAAAAAAATTCAAATCAGTAACAATTCTTGGCATCATCTTGAGAGACTTGTTAGAAAGCATGCCACAAAATTCTTTTAAACTCAATAACGGGAAATGGAAGACTGACAGTTGTCCTAAAAAGCCTTGAGAAGATTCATATTTTTCTTGACTGCCTTGCAGTCTGTATACTGGTACAAAAGACTCCAATGTAACAGAAAAATGAATTTAAGGCTCAGCTTTAAGGCTCATAAAGTGTCTAAAGCATCTAGGAGCCAACTAGGACAAGCCTCTGTCATGCTAGGCCCCAGCACACTAGCAGTTTTCATCTTACCCAGCACATGTACGCCTTAGGGGGGAAAGCGGTTTACAATATACATAAAACCAAACAGGAATCAAAATACAAGCCAGACACCAATTAACTACTGTATATTTCTTTTTGTGTGCCTCCTATAGAGGTCCAGAGGGTGGCAACGCAAGAACAGGGCCCTCTCTGCAGTGGCTCCCCTTCTGTGGAATTCTCCCCCCAGGGAAATTCGCCTGGCCCCTTCATTATACACTTTTAGGGGAGAAAGGAAGCACTACTGGGTTGTTGTTTTCATTTTTATTATGTATTTTGTGGTTTTATATCTTGAATTTTATTCTGTGAACCACCCCTGAGACCCCCAGGTATAGGGCGGTATATAAATTCATATGATGATGATGTTAATTCATAACGAGGTGGGGGGATTTGTACCCAGGGTCCCTGGTCACAGAACTGTAGAATTGTAAGGGACTCAAGGGTCATCAGAGCAGGAATCCTTTGCCTAAGGCAGGACTCGAACCCACAACCCTGAGATTAAGATCCTCATGCTCTACCAGCCGAGCTATCCCAGACCAATGGGTCTGAGTTGGTACAAGGTGGCTTCCTAAATTCCTAACACCAGGTGCCCCTAATCCATTTTTTGTAAGGGAAGGAACTGGCTGAGAGAGATGGCTCTGTGTCATTCAGTCCCGATCCGCAGGATTTCCAGCAGGGGACAGTTCTACCTCGATCTGAAGATGCCATCTGGGGCTGAACCCGAGTCTTTCTGCAGGCAACGCGGCTGTTCTGCCTCCGAGATGTGGTCCCTGCCCTTAGAGATGAAGTAAGATTTCGGTCGCAGAGGTTGAATGGCCATCTGTCATGGATGCTTTAGCTGAGATTTTTGCATTGAAAGGGGTTGGACTAGATGACCCCAGGGTCCCTTCCGCTTCTATGAAGAGTTGCTTAAATAGGAAGCAAGGAAGCCGTTTTCTGCCATTGCCATTCCACCCACCACACTATTACAGTGGTACTTCGGGTTAAGAACTTAATACGTTCTGGAGGTCCGTTCTTAACCTGAAACTGTTCTTAACCTGAAGCACCACTTTAGCTAATGGGGCCTCATCCTGAAGCAAAGTTCTTAACCCGAGGTAATATTTCTGGGTTAGCGGAGTCTGTAACCTGAAGCGTATGTAACCCGAGGTACCACTGTATTCAAAAAGTGAACTCCTATTCATGTGGTAAGGTAAAGGGACCCCTGACCGTTAGGTCCAGTCGCGGACGACTCTGGAGTTGCGGCGCTCATCTCGCTTTACTGGTCCAAGGGAGCCGGCGTACAGCTTCCGGGTCATGTGGCCAGCATGACTAAGACGCTTCTGGCGAACCAGAGCAGCGCACGGAAACGCCGTTTACCTTCCCGCCGGAGTGGTACCTATTTATCTACTTGCACTTTGACGTGCTTTCAAACTGCTAGGTTGGCACTACACTTCGGCTGCCAAGCCACTGAGCCCCCACTCACTGAGCTGTGTGGCCCCTTGTAGATAATGTAAGGTGCCAGTCCTCATTGAGGAAGAGCTGCTTAAGCAGGAACAAAGACTCAGGTTGGTGAGAACCACGGTGGGTTCAATACCCAATTGGGGCCACCTCCAAGTCCTGCGTTGCAGGAGGTTGGACTAATAGCGGTCCCACAAATAGCTTCTATGACCCCTTTCTGCATGCAAAGCAGGCCTTCTCTGCTGACCCACACATAGGAGCCAACTCCTAGGGGATCTCCCCCCCCCAATAAAATATATGAGGGGGCTGTCCCCCTAAGTTGATGGTCACTGCCAGTGCTTTTTAGGGGTTAAACGTTTAGGGGTACTCTCATTTGACTCAAGAAAATCACCATGTTATAGTTTAAACTTGGGGAAAATGAATACAGTACAGTAAATGGACCGAAGTACAAAAGATTCACAAAATGTTTGGGGGTGGGTGCGTACCGTACCCTGAGTATCCCCAGAAAAAAAAGCACTGGGCATTGCCATTCAAATACTGTGCGCGCACACTGTCATGTGATCAATTATGTGGGGCGGGGCTTACCTCCCCCCCCCCCCAATATTTCATTCAAGTTGAAATCCCTGGACCAACAGCAAGGGTTAAATGGCAGAGATGGATTCCTAGACAGGAAGGTAATTTTTTTGGGGGGGGGTCTCCTCTAGAGCAACAAGGCTCCTCCCTATCCTTCTTTGGAGAGGTGCTGGAGGTTGCAGAGAGCGGGGGCAAAGGAGGTTTGCAAGGCTTTGCAGGATTTTGCAGCAGCGGGAGGAAAATTGCTCTCTTTCTGGCCATGTCGGGGGGTGTCTTGAAGGATGATGTCAAACTGCAAGATCGACCCCAGCCAGTGCAGGCTGGGGGCGGCGAGGGATCCTGGGGAGGGATCCTGCAGCGGATCCTGGGTGAGGGGGGCACCCTCAGCTCAGAGGCGCAGCGCCAGCGCTTCAGGCAATCCTGCTACCGAGACCCCGAGAGACCCCGAGAGTTTTGCAGCCGACTCCACCACCTCTGCCGTCTGTGGCTGGAGCCAGAGAGACACACCAAGACTCAGATCCTGGATTTAGTGGTCCTGGAGCAGCTCCTGGCCGTCCTCCCTGCGGAGACAGAGAACTGGGTGAAGGAATGCGGAGTGGAGACCAGTTCCCAGGCAGTGGCCCCGGCAGAAGTTTTCCTCTGGAGTCAGGCAGAGGAGAAGCAAGGAGAGCAGCAGGTAAGAAGCATAGCATCCTGGAATTGTGGAGTTGGAAGGGACAACAAGAGGCATCTAGTCCAACCCCGCCCAACATAACCCTGAAATCAAGAGTTTTTTGCTCTACTTACTGAGCTATCAATGTTGTTGTTGTTATCATCATCATTAAAACTTATTAGTTTCTTGCCACATTGTTATTGTTGTTATTAATATTATTATTATTATCATGAAACTGATTAGTTGCTTGTCACATTTTAAGTAGTAGTAGTGGTAGTTTCTTGTCACCAAGGGTCTCCAACCGACTAACAGCAAAGAAAAATACACAGTACATAATACCATGGGGGGGGGAGAATGGGGGAACATATAATACATTAATATTTCCTACAGTGTTACATTTAATGATCACCATAACGAATTGAAAAAAACGTTTAAAAGTACTTTCCAAAAAAACAGAGTCCTTTTGTTGGGGGATAATTCAGACTGAAATTCCCAGGTGTCAAAAGAAGTTACAGTATTTATGTATGCTACTACTGTGACCCTTGGGACGCTGGTAAAACCTCAGCGCCTAGGACTTGCTGATCGTATGGTCGGCGGTTCGAACCCCGTGGCAGGGTGAGCTCCCGTCTTTCGGTCCCAGCTCCTGCCCACCTAGCAGTTTGAAAGCACCACTAAGTGCAAGTAGATAAATAGGTACCGCTTTATAGCGGGAAGGTAAACAGCGTTTTCGTGTGCTGCGCTGGTGCCGGCTCACCAGAGCAGCTTCGTCACGCTAGCCACGTGACCCGGAAGTGTCTCCGGACAGCGCTGGCTCCCGGCCTCTTAAGTGAGATGAGCGCGCAACCCTAGAGTCGGACACGACTGGCCCATACGGGCAGAGGTCCCTTTACCTTTACTACTGTGGACCATGTTTCGTTAGCCCCAAAATGGAAAATGAGCAAGGTTCCAACTAAAGAAGAATGGCAACTTAAATTGATGGAATACACACAGCTTGCAGACTTAACATATAGAATAAGAGAACAAGAAGAACATACGTTTTAGAGAAGATTGGGAAATGTTTATTGAATATAAACACTTGAAAATGTTGGCAGCATTAAGATAATTTCAACAGTGTAAATAAGTTTTGATGGATGTAATAATGGAATACTAAATAGTAAAGTTTTTGTAAAATACGAAGGGATTTATGATACAGTGGTACCTTGGGTTACATACGCTTCAGGTTACATACGCTTCAGGTTATAGACTCCGCTAACCCAGAAATAGTGCTTCAGGTTAAGAACTTTGCTTCAGGATGAGAACAGAAATAGTGCTCCGGCGGCACGGCGGCAGCAGGAGGCCCCATTAGCTAAAGTGGTGCTTCTGGTTAAGAACAGTTTCAGGTTAAGAACAGACCTCCGGAACAAATTAAGTACTTAACCCGAGGTACCACTGTATGCAAAATGAACCATGGAAAGAGTAGAAGGGAAGTCATTGATATTTTAAGGATGTTTAGATGAGTGTTTTAAATTGTAAAACAGAAAATTTCCCGTTGGGCTCTCTGCTTTTTTTCTACAGGGGAAGGACTCAGTCACGATCTGGAATCTGATTGCAAAATACCGCCTGGCCTCCAGGCAGAATCTCGTGGAACTTTCAGGGGATACTTTGGCCGTCTTGGGAGCCGCCTCAGATCACAAGTCCAAGATGGCCAAGCAAGACTCGGTTGGCTCTCAGGCAGGAGAAGAACCTAGTGCAACCCAGGCTGGGAGCAGTGGCGGATCCTGGGAAAGAACCACGCCGGAGATCCTGGATGAGGAATATGCCCTCAGCGTCGATGCACGGAGACAGCATTTCAGGGAGTTCCAGTACAGGGAAGCTGAGGGACCTCAGGAGGTTTGCAGCCGACTCCACCATCTTTGCCATCAGTGGCTGAAGCCGGAGAGACACACCAAGGCTCAGATCCTGGACCTGGTGATCCTGGAGCAGTTCCTGGCTGTCCTACCCCCGGAGATGGAGAACTGGGTCAGGGAATGTGGAGCGGAGACCAGTTCTCAGGCGGTGGCCCTGGCTGAAGGTTTCCTCCTGAGTCAGGCGGAGGAGAAGAAGCAGAAAGGGCTGCAGGTGAGAGAGACGGTTTTCATCCTGATAGTTTTCAGGGGCTCAGAATATTACCCATGTTCATTTTCTGGAAATCCTCAAAGGAGGGGACAACCACCAAGGCCTGATTCTGCCCCATTCCTTTCCCAGTCTCTTATCTCTGCTGTTATTTCACCTACAGGACCTATTTTCGGAAGAGGCCGTGGACTTTACTGAGGCAGAGAAGGCTCCATCAGACTCCGGGCAGATCAAACAGGAGGAAGGTAGAGGTGTCACATCACTGGGTAAGGCTTAGCGTGGCATCATTGCCCATCTTGGTCTTCCTCTCTTAGGTACGCCTAAAATAAGCAGGCCTTGGTCCAGTATACCTGAAGGAGCGTCTCCACCCCCATCGTTCTGCCTGGACACTAAGGCCAAGTGCCAAGGGCCTTCTGGCTGTTCCTTCGCTGAGAGAAGCCAAGTTACAGGGAACCAGGCAGAGGGCCTTCTCGGTAGTGGCACCCGCCCTGTGGAACACCCTCCCACCAGATGTCAAAGAGAAAAGTAACTTTTAGAAGACATCTGAAGGCAGCCCTGTTTAGGGAAGCTTTTAATGTTCAATAGGTTATTGTATTTTAATATTCTGTTGGAAGCCACCCAGAGTGGCTGGGGAAACCTAGCCAAATGGGCAGGGTATAAATAATAAATTATTATTATTATTATTATTATTATTATTATTATTATTATTATTAATCTCAATCCCATGTTGGGGACAAGCTGATGGCAATAAAAAAACGCTGAGTTTCAACACTTAACTTCAACACTGGCTTGAAAGAGCCAAGCTTTTTATTCTTGTAAATCGTTCTGGGACTGTTATGGGAGGCAAGTAATAAATTCAATATACAGTGGTACCTCGGTTGTCGAACGTAATCCGTTCCGGAACACTGTTTAACTTACAAAACGTTCGACAACCAAGGCGCAAAGGGCAGTCTGCAAAGTCAATGGAGAAAATTGGAAAAAACCTCGGCAGAAGTCGTTCGACTTCCGATGTGCATTAAAAAATGGAAGCATTTACTCCGGGTTTTTGGCGTTCGAAAACTGAAACGTTTGGCTTCAGAGACGCTCAAAAATCGAGGTACCACTGTACTAGCTACCTAACCTGGGGGGGGGGAGAAAGGAGGGGAGAGGAAGGAAGGAAGGAAGGAAGGAAGGAAGGAAGGAAGGAAGGAAGGAGAAAGAGAGGGAGAGAGAGAGAGAAAAGAAGAAGAAAGAAATAGAAATTGAATTGAATTGAAATTGAAATATTTTATTGCCACTTGTACAACTTGTATACAGTGTATACGTTCCCTCCCGGTAGAAGGAGATCATCAAAGGTTGATTGACATCGTTCTTCTGCAATGCTCTGAGGAGATGGAGTCTCTGTTGGGCTTTCTTAACCACCTGGGTTGTATTGATTTTCCAAGTAAGGTCTTCACTGAGATAAACTCCTACGAATTTAAAGGAAGAGACTCTCTCCACATAGCCCTTCCCAATGTACAGCGGAAAGAAAGAAAGAAGAAAGAAAGAAAGAAAGAAAGAAAGGAAGGAAGGAAGGAAGGAAGGAAGGAAGGAAGGAAGGAAGGAAGGAAGGAAGGAACCCTTGGGTATTTTTGCCCTCTTGCATGAAACTGAAATGCTTCAAGAGTGAATCACTGCAATGCTAACTATGTGAGGCTTCCCTTACACTTGATTTGGAAACTTCAGTTAGTGCAGAATGCTGCAGCATAGTTGCTGACAGGAGTTGTCGGCACATAACAGCCGTGCTCAAGGATCTGCGCCGCTTGCTCATTTGCTACCCAGCCAGGTTCAAGGTGGTACTATTAGCATATAAAGTTTTTTTGACAGCTTGGGATCAGTTTGCTTGCAAGATACCAGTGGTGCCGTTCGTTTACACGGTTTTGGCCGTCCGAATGGGTGGTACTATTTTGGCTGCCCAGGAGCAGTTTGATTTGGAAATGCAAGGAATGGCAAGTAAATCTCCCCCCTTTTTGTGTCCCTCTCAGGAGATGGACGCAGCAGGATGCGGGCAATATGTTGCGGTTCGTCTCTTCCTTGCGGTGGAGTGGAAATTGCATCTGTGCGGCTGGATCAGGTAAATATAGGGATCGACCGAGAGCCTGAAATGGAAACCCAGGGTGCCTCTGGATCCGGAAGAATCTGCACCTTCCCTCTCTGCTTCCATCAAAGTTGTGTTCACAGAAACCAGTGTGAATGCCCATTCAGACAGCTTAAACCCTGAGGTGCAACACTCAGCTAAATAATTTTAAGTTTAGTCTTACCAGCGTACCCCTTCTTGGGCGAATATAATTTTGGGGTAGTTTGCATAAAACAATTTTATTTATTTATTTGAATTTGGGTACTGCCCTATACTCGTAGATCTTAGGGCGGTTCACAACATAAATCTTATATACATATACATACATACATATATATATATACATACACACACACACACACACACACACACATATATATATATATACACACACACACATACACAAAATGCACAATTAAAAATAAGAACAAAACCAAACCAATAATCCCCATCTTCCGTAACACATTTAAAAAGGGCATCGGATGTCAATCATCCAAAGGCCTGGTTGAAGAAGAATGTTTTCGCCTGGTGCCTAAAGGTGTACAGTCAAACCTCGGTTCCAGAACAGCTTCGTTTTGGAACATTTCAGCTCTGAAACGCTGAAAACCCGGAAGTAAATGTTCTGGATTTCAAATGTTTTTTCGGAAGCCAAATGTCCAAGGCTCTTGCAACCAATCAGAAGCCGTGCCTCGGTTGTCGAATGTTTCGGAACCATGGAAATGGTTAAATGATTACTTATGTAGACAAAGATTAAGTGTAAGGTATTGGTTGTGTTTAGAACAGATTTATGAAAGATTTAGAAAACATTGATTATAATATTTGTATGAGATTGTATGGGACAAATACGGAATAACAGATACAATTTTGCTTAAAATGTATATAGGAAGTGCAGTGTAAGCGATGGAAGTCAATCAGTGAAATTTTATTATTGAGATATTTGTAGAATAAATTTGGAAGAAATTCTTCCAATTTTTCTTCTTCTTTTTCTCCTTATTTTTTTCTTTTTCTTTTTTCTTTTCTTCCTTTTTTCTTTTTTGTTCTTTTTTATATATGTGTGCTTATCTGAAACATATGTATATATGTATTTGCAGTATTTTGCTTGTATTTTGTAATAATTATGTTAAATAAAATTATTATTTTTTAAAAAAAGAACGTTTCGGAACCAAATGGACTTCCGGAACGGATTACGTTCAACAACCGAGGTTTGACTGTATAATAAAGGTGCCAGGCGAGTCTCCCTGGGGAGAGCATTCCACAAATGGGAGCTAAAAAATAAAAATGACAAGAAAATGAAATAAAAGTTTCTGCTGTGTGCCCTTTGAAACCCTTTCACATATCCCTGGTGGGTACGTGAGAGAAGAGAATGTATATTAGATCAATTTGTAAAGGGAATAGAATCGTGCCAAACAGCATGCTCCTAGATAAAGTTTATTTCCCCCCACCCCAGGTGACTTTTGAGGATGTAGCTGTATACTTCGCAGAAGAGGAGTGGAGACTGCTGGATCCAGACCAAAGGGTCCTTCACAAGGAAGTCATGGAGGAGAACTGGGGGGTTGTTGCTTCTCTGGAGCGACAAGACTCTGGTGACCCCCAGGCTTCAGGAGACCTTCATGCCACCCAGGCTGGGAGCAGTGAGGAATTCTGGGAAAGAACCGTGCAGAAGATCCTAGGTGAGGATCTCTCTTTTTAATTGGCTAAGACTCCTTTGTCTTTGTGGCTGATAAAATTAGTTGGCAGGTGCTAAATACACTGAACTTTGGCATGCAGAGTATGTCAACCACACACCTGTAGCAAATCGTACACACGGAAATATTGGTAGAGAAATAAATAATAATAATTTATTTATACCCCACCCATCTGGCTGGGTTTCCCCAGCCACTCTGGGCAGCTTTCAACAGAATGTTAAAATACAATAATCTATTAAACATTAAAAGCTTCCCTAAACAGGGCTGCCTTCAGATGTCTTCTAAAAGTCTGGTAGTTGTTTCTCTCTTTGACATCTGGTGGGAGGGCGTTCCACAGGTTGGTGCCACCACCGAGAAGACCCTCTGCCTGGTTCCCTGTAACTTGGCTTCTCGCAGTGAGAGAACCACCAGAAGGCCCTCGGAGCTGGACATCAGTGTCCGGGCAGAATGATGGAGGTGGAGACGCTCCTTCAGGAAGTTTCTCTGCTATAGCAAGAGCCCCAGATGGACCTACGCTAGTGGCCAAAATTGTGGAAACCTTTTGGGAAAAGAGTATTTTCGAGGTTTGATGGCTCATAACACCTGATTGGCTCTCTAAACACTCATGCTCACTGGCTACATTCAAATGAAGGAAAGCTACTGCATAGCAACCTAAGCAAGTTGTGCTTCCTTTTTCTGGTTATTTGGCTATACAGTGGTACCTCGGGTTAAGAACTTAATTCGTTCTGGAGGTCCGTTCTTAACCTGAAACTGTTCTTAACCTGAAGCACCACTTTAGCTAATGGGGCCTCCTGCTGCCGCCACGCCGCCGCTGCGCGATTTCTGTTCTCATCCTGAAGCAAAGTTCTTAACCCGAGGTACTATTTCTGGGTTAGCGGAGTCTGTAACCTGAAGAGTCTATAACCTGAAGCGTCCGTAACCTGAGGTACTACTGTAACTTTTTATAGAATACAGATTATTGAACAAACTTTGTTGCATTACAGGTTTCATAAAATTATATTTCCATTGATATATAATTTTATGGTATTACTCCAAAAAAAGAAAAAAGTGGTGTTGTGAGCCATCAAACCTCATAAATACACTTTTTCCAAACGGTTTCCACAATTTTGTCCACTAGTGTGCAACATACATTGGTCATCTGTCATGGATGCTTTAGTTGAGGTTCCTGCGTTGAAAGAGGGCTGGACTAGATGGCCCTCAGGGTCCCTTCCAACTCTACAGTTCTGTGATTCTGTGAAATTTCATGTTAGGGATCATTAAAAAAAGACGCCAACAGTTTAAACCTCTTCTTTCCTTCTCACAAAGTATCCCTCTTGTTTCTCAAGGTGAAAAGCAGGATGGAGGAGAATCAAACATGGCGCTGTTGGAAAGTTATGGATGCAAAGAGGAGGAAGAACAGAGAGCAAGACCTGAGCTAAAACAGAAGAGCAGGAACGAATTCTCTGCTTCTCAGGAAGGTGACATCTGTGAGATCCCAGCTGAAGAGAACCTTAACAGCAGAAAAGAAAGCAGTCAGTGTCCCGTGTGTGGCAAAATGTTCAAATGGAAATCGAGCCTTTATACCCACTCTAAGCTCCACACAGGGGAGAAGCCATTCAAGTGTTCTGAGTGTGGAAAGAGCTTCAGTCAGAAGTCAACCCTCACAACTCATCAAAGAATCCACACCGGGGTGAAACCATTTCAATGTTCCGAATGTGGAAAGAGCTACAGTAGAAATTCAAGCCTTACTGCTCATCAGAGAATCCACACAGGGGAGAAACCGTATGTATGCCCGGAGTGTGGAGAAAGCTTCAGTGAGAAGAGAAATCTCACTGTTCATCAAGGAACTCACACAGGGGGGAAGCCATTTCAGTGCTTGGATTGTGGAAAGAGCTTCAGTCAGATATCAAGTGTAAGCAGACATCAAAGAATACACACTGGTGAGAAACCCTATATATGCTCAGAGTGTGGGAAAAGCTTCAATCAGAAAAGAAATTTGACTGTTCATCAAGGAACTCATACAGGGGAGAAACTATTTAAATGCTCGGAGTGTGGAAAGAGCTTTAATAGGAGAGACCGGCTTATTTTACATAATAAAATCCACAGAGGGGAGAAACCATTTAAATGCTTGGAGTGCGGAAAGAGCTTCAATCAAAGCTCAAGCTTTACTTCACACCAAAGAATTCACACTGGAGAAAAACCTTTCAAATGCTTGGAGTGCGGAAAAAGCTTCCGTTGGTCTAGCGTCTTGACTTTACACCAGCGAATTCACACAGATAAGAAACCGTATAGCTGCTTGGAGTGCGGGAAAAGCTTCAGGCAGAAGAGCAGTCTCACAGCACACGAAGGAATCCATACTGGGCAGAAACCATTTAAATGTTTGGAGTGCGGAAAGAGCTTCAGTCAAAAGATTCACCTCACTTGCCATCAGGGAACGCACACAGGAGAGAAACCATTTAAATGCTTGAAATGTGGAAAGAGCTTTCGTTGGGCTACCTCTCTTACTTTACATCAGAGAACCCACACAAGGGAGAGACCGTACACATGCTTGGAGTGCGGAAAGAGCTTCAGTCAAAAAACCCATCTCACTTATCATCAAGGGACTCACACAGGGGAGAAACTATTTAAATGCCTGGAATGTGGAAAGAGCTTTTGCTGGGCTATTTCTCTTACTTTACACCAACAAATGCACACAGGGAAGAAAGCGTATACTTGCCTGAAGTGCGGAAAGAGCTTCAGGAAGAACTCCAACCTTAGATCACACCAAATAACTCACACAGCAGAGAAACCATTCAAATGCTTGGAGTGTGGAAAAAGCTTCCGTTGGAACAACTCTCTTACATTACACCAACGTGTTCACACCGGGGAGAAGCCATATGAGTGCTTGGAGTGTGGAAGGAGCTTCAATAGGAAATCCACCTTTATATTACATCAGAGAATCCACACAGGGGAGAAGCCCTTTAAATGCCCGGACTGTGGAAAGAGTTTTATTCGGAGAGACTCCCTCATTTCACATCAACACATCCACACAGGACAGAAGCCCTTTAAATGCTTGGAGTGCGGAAAGAGTTTCAATCACAGCTCAAGCTTCACTTTACACCAAAGAATTCACACAGGTGAGAGACCACATAAATGCTTGGAGTGTGGAAGGAGTTTTAACAGGAGAGGAACACTTAAATTACATCAAAGAATCCACACAGGGGAGAAACCTTTTAAATGTCTGGAGTGTGGAAAGAGCTATATTAGGAAAGACTCCCTTATTTTACATCAGAGAATCCACTCGGGGGAAAAGCCCTTTAGATGCCTGGAGTGTGGAAATAGCTTTATTAGAAAGGACTGCCTTATTTCACATCAGCATGTCCACACGGGGGAGAAGGCTTTTAAATGTTTAGAGTGTGGAAGGAGCTTCAATCACAGCTCAAGCTTCACCTTACACCAAAGAAGTCACACAGGAGAGAGACCGTATAAATGCTTGGAATGTGGAAAGAGCTTTAACAGGAAAGGGATCCTTAAATTACACCTGAGAATCCACACAGGGGAGAAACCCTTTAAATGCATAGAGTGCAGGAAAAGCTATATTAGGAAAGGGTCCCTTATTTTACATCAAGGCATTCACATGGAGGAGAAACCATTTAAATGTCTAGAGTGTGGAAAGAGCTTTGCTAGGAAAGACTGCTTTATTTCACATCAAAACATTCACACAGGTGAGAAGCCATATAAATGTCTGCTGTGTGGCAAGAGCTTCAATCACAGCTCAAGTTTTACATCACACCAACAAACTCACACAGAAGAGAGACCACATAAATGCTCGGAGTGCGGAAAGAGCTTTAACAGGAAAGGGACCCTTATTTTACATCAAAGAATCCACACAGGGGAGAAACCTTTTAAATGCCTGGTGTGTGGAAAGAGCTATATTAGGGAAAGCTCCCTTATTTCACATCAGAGAATACACACAGAAGAGAAACTTTGAATGTTTGGAGCGCAGAAAGAGCTTCAATCACGGGTCAAGCTTTTTATCACACCAAAGAATTCAAATGTGTGGAATACATAAAGAGCTTCAGGAAGAGCAGGGACCTCAGTAGATGTATGCTCAGACTGTAGCATGATTTGTCACCACAGAGACAGCCTTAGAAATCATCAGAGTCTGCGCATAGAGGAGCAACTATATACGTGCAGGCTTGGAATGTAGGAATGTCATCTATGAGCAAGCAGAATAAAAGGGTCAAATCACATCGAAGAGTCCACCCAATGGTGAAACCACGAAACTGAAGTGTGGAAAGAAAATATAAATAAATCTTCACACAGGGAGGAAGTGTCTAAAGAAAGAAGACTACTGCTTTTCTGACCAATCACACTTTTATAGCACACACAAACATGAGACTGACAGTATAAATGTTCAGATATCTATGATTCCAAACATGGTATGTGGGGAAAGTGATTAGGGCCATCATCTTAACGAGTACAATGTTGTGATTAGGCATTTTCCTTGCCACATTTTGTGAATGAATCATGATGCAGTAGTCATAAAGGTCTTCGCCAACATGGGGATAAATCACTCATAAGGAACTGTGGGATATTCGGGGGGGTGACTAAATGGGGCTTTGATAGAAGCTTATGAAGGTATGAATACTGGTGAGAGGGATAGAGGGAAAGTATCCCTCCTTTCAAGGGATGCGGGTGGTGCTGTGGGTTAAAACCACAGAGCCTAGGACTTGCCAATCAGAAGGTCGGTGGTTCGAATCCCTGTGATGGGGTGAACTCCCGTTGCTCAGTCTCTGCTCCTGCCAACCTAGCAGTTCAAAGGCACGCCAAAAGTGCAAGTAGATAAATAGGTACCGCTCCGGCGGGAAGGTCAACAGCATTTCCGTGCGCTGCTCTGGTTCGCCAGAAGCGGCTTAGTCATGCTGGCCACATGACCCGGAAGCTGTACGCCAGGCTCCCTCGGCCAATAAAGCGAGATGAGCGCCGCAACCCCAGAGTCGGTCACGACTGGACCTGATGGTCAGGGGTCCCTTTACCTTTACCCTTATTCTTCATTTCTCATCATGTTAGAACTCAAGGTTAACCTAAATAGTTCCATTGTTGTGTTGTGTACAAAAAACGAGTTTCATTTGATGATATTGAAATGATTTATATAGATTGCTCCTCAGAATGGCATATAGGGAAGTATTACCCTTCTGTTAAGAAATGGGTTTTAAGAATATGAGGTTTGATATATTTGATTAAATTCTCAAAGATAAAGTAAGAGAAGGGAAGAGAAACACTTATTGGGAGTTTTTAAACAAAGTTTGGATGATTCTATTCAATCTCTGTGTTGAAACTAGGAGTTTATTATGTATTGGATGGAGTTCAAGATGCAGCACAACAGTATTCGAAGTTTTAAGAATATTACAGGGCAACTGTTGTAAATATGAATTGTTTGATATACACTCCATTTTTACTATTAATTTTTATTGAATTTACCGTATTTTTCGCTCTATAGGATGCACTTTTTCCCCTCCAAAAATGAAGGAGAAATGTGTGTGCATCCTATGGAGCGAATGCAGGCTTTTGCTGAAGCCTGGAGAGCGAGAGGGGTAAGTGTGCACCGACCCCTCTCACTCTCCAGGCTTCAGAAAGCTATCCACAAGCCTTGGGAGCTCAGCAGGAGTTCCCACCGGGCTCACACGTCCCAGGCTTTGGGCAGATATCCGCAAGCCTGGGGAGCCCGGCGGGAGTTCCCCCCGCCAGCCCCAAAGAGCAGGTTGAAAGGAACCCCAAGCCTCCAGAGCCCAGCGGGAACTCCTGCTGGGCTCCGGAGGCTTCGTATGAACGCACAGAACGCACATTGACTTAGAGGCAGAGAACAAGAAATTTTTTTCTCCCCCTCCTATGTGGGAGGTCCAGTGTGTCCAATAGAGCGAAAAATACGGTATATACTGCCCTGTACCTGCAGGTCTCAGGGCGATTCACAGAAAAGATCACAATGTATAAAATAAAAATACAAACAATAACCCAATAACACCCCAGCCCCAAGAGAGCCACATTTTAAAAGGGCATAGGATGTCCATCAAATGAACCAAAGGCTTGGTTAAAAAGGAATGTTTTTGCCTGGCACCTAAAGGTGTATAAGGAATGCGCCAGGCTTTCCCGCGGAGAGCATTCGACAGACTGGGAGCTACTGCAGAGAAGGCCCTGTTCTTGCGTTGCCACCCTCCGTACCTCTCAAGGAGGAGGCACATGAAGGAGGCCTCAGAAGATGATCTCAGGGTCCAGGTAGGTTCATATGGAAAGTGGTGGACCTTGAGGTATTGTGTTCCTGAGCCGTTTAAGTCTTTAGAGGTCAAAACCAGCACTTTGAATTGGGCCTGGAAACTAATCAGTAGCCAGTGCATTTGGACCAGGATTGGTGTAACATGGTCAAACTGTCTTGCTCTGGTGAGCAACCTGGCCACTGAAATCTGTACTAACTGAAGTTTCCATCTTCAGAGGCAGCCCTACGTATAACATATTACAGTAATCTAACCTTGAAGTTACCAGCGCATAGACAACGGTAGGTAAGCTATTCCTGTCCACCTAGGGGGTAGCTGGTCCACCAGCCGAAGCTGATGGAAGGCACTGCAGGCCACTGAGGCCATCTGAACCTCAAAGGATCCAGGAGAACCCCCGAGCTACGAACCTGCTCCTCCAGAGGAAGTGTAATCCCATCAAGAGCAGGCAATCTCCTACCCATCTGGCCTAGGGAACCACCCACCAACTGAGCCTCACTCTTATCTGGATTGAGCTTGAGTTTGTTGGCTCTCATCTAGTCCATTATGAAGGCAAGACACTGGTCCAGCACTTCCACTGCCTCACCTGCAGATGGAAAGGAGAAATAGAGCTGAGTGTCATCAGCATACTGCTGGCAACGTACTCTGAAACGCCAAACTTTTGCATACTTGTGGATCGTGGGTATCTTGTTGATACACTCTGTTTCTGAGATACGATAGCCGTCTTCAAATATCTAAAAGTCTGTCACATGGAAGATGGCGCAAGCTTGTTTTCTGCTCCAGAGAGTAGGACCAGAACCAATTATTTCATGTTACAAGGAAGGAGGAGGAGGAGTTTGGACTTGATATCCCGCTTTATCACTACCCTAAGAAGTCTCAAAGTGGCTAACATTCTCCTTTCCCTTCCTCCGCCACAACAAACACTCTGTGAGGTGAGTGGGGCTGAGAGACTTCAGAGAAGTGTGACTAGCCCAAGGTCACCCAGCAGCTGCATGTGGAGGAGCGGAGACGCGAACCCAGTTCACCAGATTATGAGTCCACCGCTCTTAACCACTATATCAGGAAGAACTTTAGTTGAGATTCCTGCATTGCAGGGGGTGAGACTAGATGACCCTCGGGTCCCTTCCAATTCTACAATTCTATGGTTCCCAGGAAATGCATAAAAAACATAATAATAAACAAAATTAAGGATTAGACAAATTCATGGTCTCCCAGTGGCTCTTATCCATGATAATTAAATGGAACCAAATAGATTATGATCAGAAGGGAGGCAACAGCACAATACAGTACAGTTATTGAAAATTATATATGATTTATCATGGCTAGGAGGAATAGCTTGGCTTCTGTTGTTCATGCTCTCCTCCTTTCTGGCCTACTGTAATGAGCTCCCCTTGAAGATTATCAGAAATCTGAAGCTAGTGCAGAATTATTTATTGTATTTATTTATTACATATTCTGCTCTTCATCTGAAGATCTTGGGGCAGTTCACAGCATAAAAGTACAAAACAAAAACACAAAATACAGAATAAAAACAAGAACGAACCCATAAGCCGCACCTCCCAAAAACACATTTAAATGACATAGAATGTCAATCAGCCTAAGGTCTGGTTGAAGAACGGCGTTTTCTGCCTGGCCCCTAAAAGTATATAATGAAGGTGCCAGTTGAGCTTCCTGGGGGAGAGCATTCCTCAAGCGGGGAGCCACCACAGAAAAGGCCTGTTCTTGTGTTGCCACCCTCTGGGCATCTCATGGAGGCGGCACATGAAGAAAGGCCTCAGCGGATGGTCTCAGGGTTTGGGTCAGTTCATATGAGAAGAGGTGGTCCTTGAGGCATTGAGGTCTCAAGCCACAAAGCCCTGATATTGCCAACTTCCTGCTTCCATTGTAAAGAGTAGCTCTGCTGTTCCTGAGCCACTGGAGGAGCTTACAGGCCTGTGTTTTTCAGCCTGGGGTCCCCAGATGTTGCTGGACTACAACTCCCATCACCCGCAAGTCTCCGGGAACCAAGCCATATGAGGAACGGTTGAAGGAGCTGGGTATGTTTACCCTGGAGGAGACAGAGGAGATATGATTGCCATCTTCAAATAACTAAAAGGCTGTGTACAAATAATAAATTGTTGTGCAGATGGAGCCTAAGTTTCATGAATTCTTTATGCTTGCATTGTTTTCGTATGTGAACTGCCTTGAGTTTTTAACAGAAATGCAAAGTGAGCATTCCTTTCTTTTCCATTTCATTTCATTTTTCTTCCCAACCCTCAATTCTTTTCCTTTCCAATAGGTGCTTAAAGGCCACTTATATCCATGAAAGCTTTAAACTTGAATTAAAAGGAAACCAGAAGAAACACACACACACGCCAGAAGAAACCAAGAATTTAATTTAATATAATTGGTTTATTGCAGGGGTCTGCAACCCGCGGCTCCGGAGCCGCATGTGGCTCTTTTACACCTTTGCCGCGGCTCCGGGGCGGATACTAGCGAGGGGAGGAGGCGCATTGTGAGCCCCGACACTCCCCACTGTGGCGGACGCTGTACTGGCTGTGACGTCGCATGGGGGCGGTGCGTGCGTTAGTCGCGCACCGTCCCGACGTCACCTTCCCGCCCGCCCGCTACATTGTAAGGGGCATGTACGCTGGTCACTGCATTGAAAGGGGGCATGTACGCTGGTCACTGTTTTGAAGGGGAGTGAAGAACACACACACACAAAAAGGTAACTTGTTAATTTAACGTTTATTTCTATGAGGAGGAGTAATTCTGAGGGGTCAAACAAAGAAATAATAAAAAAGGTGACAAAAAAATTATTTTTATAATGACGAGTTTTGCGGCTCCCAGTTTTTTTTCCCTTCGGAAACGGGTCCAAGTATCCACCCCGGAGCCGCGGCAAAGGTGTAAAAGAGCCACATGCGGCTCCGGAGCCGCGGGTTGCAGACCCCTTTGCCGCGGCTCCGGGGCGGATACTAGCGAGGGGAGGAGGCGCATTGTGAGCCCCGACACTCCCCACTGTGGCGGACGCTGTACTGGCTGTGACGTCGCATGGGGGCGGTGCGTGCGTTAGTCGCGCACCGTCCCGACGTCACCTTCCCGCCCGCCCGCTACATTGTAAGGGGCATGTACGCTGGTCACTGCATTGAAAGGGGGCATGTACGCTGGTCACTGTTTTGAAGGGGAGTGAAGAACACACACACACAAAAAGGTAACTTGTTAATTTAACGTTTATTTCTATGAGGAGGAGTAATTCTGAGGGGTCAAACAAAGAAATAATAAAAAAGGTGACAAAAAAATTATTTTTATAATGACGAGTTTTGCGGCTCCCAGTTTTTTTCCCTTCGGAAACGGGTCCAAGTATCCGCCCCGGAGCCGCGGCAAAGGTGTAAAAGAGCCACATGCGGCTCCGGAGCCGCGGGTTGCAGACCCCTGCAATAAACCAATTATATTAAATTAAATTCTTGGTTTCTTCTGGCGTGTGTGTGTGTTTCTTCTGGTTTCCTTTTAATTCAAGTTTAAAGCTTTCATGGATATAAGTGGCCTTTAAGCACCTATTGGAAAGGAAAAGAATTGAGGGTTGGGAAGAAAAATGAAATGAAATGGAAAAGAAAGGAATGCTCACTTTGCATTTCTGTTAAAAACTCAAGGCAGTTCACATACGAAAACAATGCAAGCATAAAGAATTCATGAAACTTAGGCTCCATCTGCACAACAATTTATTATTTGTACACAGCCTTTTAGTTATTTGAAGATGGCAATCATATCTCCTCTGTCTCCTCCAGGGTAAACATACCCAGCTCCTTCAACCGTTCCTCATATGGCTTGGTTCCCGGAGACTTGCGGGTGATGGGAGTTGTAGTCCAGCAACATCTGGGGACCCCAGGCTGAAAAACACAGGCCTGTAAGCTCCTCCAGTGGCTCAGGAACAGCAGAGCTACTCTTTACAATGGAAGCAGGAAGTTGGCAATATCAGGGCTTTGTGGCTTGAGACCTCAATGCCTCAAGGACCACCTCTTCTCATATGAACTGACCCAAACCCTGAGACCATCCGCTGAGGCCTTTCTTCATGTGCCGCCTCCATGAGATGCCCAGAGGGTGGCAACACAAGAACAGGCCTTTTCTGTGGTGGCTCCCCGCTTGAGGAATGCTCTCCCCCAGGAAGCTCAACTGGCACCTTCATTATATACTTTTAGGGGCCAGGCAGAAAACGCCGTTCTTCAACCAGACCTTAGGCTGATTGACATTCTATGTCATTTAAATGTGTTTTTGGGAGGTGCGGCTTATGGGTTCGTTCTTGTTTTTATTCTGTATTTTGTGTTTTTGTTTTGTACTTTTATGCTGTGAACTGCCCCAAACAAAACCCATGTTTTGCACCAGGTTGATGAAGGCTGCTTTACAGACAGTAGTAACATAGCCTTTCAGTTTTGTTTAAATGCTGTAATCTAAGTCGCCATTTGTTACAATAAACCAGAGGTCTGCAACCTTTAAGACAAAAAGAGCCACTTGGACCCGTTTCCGAAGGGAAAAAAACTGGGAGCCGCAAAACTCGTCATTATAAAAATAACTTTTTTGTCACCTTTTTTATTATTTCTTTGTTTGACCCCTCAGAATTACTCCTCCTCATAGAAATAAACGTTAAATTAACAAGTTACCTTTTTTGTGTGTGTGTGTTCTTCATTCCCCTTCAAAACAGTGACCAGCGTACATGCCCCCTTTCAATGCAGTGACCAGTGTACATGCCCCTTACAATGTAGCAGGCGGGCGGGAAGGTGACGTCGGGATGGTGCGTGACTAACGCACGCACCACCCCCATGCGACGTCACAGCCAGTACAGCACCCGCCACAGTGGGGAGTGTTGGGGTGCACAATGCGCCTCCTCCCCTCGCTAGTATCCGCCCCAGAGCCACGGCAAAGGTGTAAAAGAGCCACATGCGGCTCCGGAGCCGCGGGTTGCAGACCCCTGGCTTAGCCTAACATGCTCTCTTGGTTTCCAAAGGGGCTATCTCCTTATAGAATAGTTTCCAGGTATATTACTTTTCTAACTTAAGTCTGCTTTCTGGGATCCAATTGTAACAGAATGTGTGAGTAAACTCTTTTTATACTTTTATAGAAGACTGTGTCATGTCTTATCTTTTTATGAGGGACTAAATAGGGAATTATCAACGAAACTTATTTTAGAGGCTTTAGCGAGCCTGAGCAAACGCATCCGCTGTGCAAGTTTAAAAAGGGGAATGTTACTCTGCTAAACTGTAGAACTTGTTAACACAAGTTGGAAAGGATATAATCAAACAATATACCCTCTCCTGCATCCCTGAACATTCCCACACTTGCTTCCAACACTTCTACATGAAATTCCCGTGCGGATTCTCTGATGTGGTGTTAGGCCTGTTCTGGCCAAAGCTCTTTCCACACCTTGAGCATCTGTACAGTTTCTCCTGTGTGGCTCCTCTCGTGGGCATGGAGGCTCGAGTTCTGACTGAACCTTTTCCCACATACCAAGCACTTGTAGGGCTTCTCCCCTGTGTGGACCCTCTGGTGCCTAGCGAGGTCCCCGTTCCTCCGGAAGCAGTTCCCGCACTGCAAGCACTGAAATGGCTTCTCCCCCGTGTGGCTTCTCTGATGTGAAAGGAGGTTCGTGCTGTTGACGTAGTTCTTCCCGCACTCGGCGCATTTAAAGGGCTGCTCCCCTGTGTGCAGCCTCTGATGGTTCCTAAGGTTCCACTTGTGGCGGAAATTTATGCCGCACTCGGAGCAGGCGTAGGGTTTCTCCCCGGTGTGGATCCTTTGGTGCCGTGTGAGGTCCGTGTTCTTGATGAAGCTCTTTCCACACTCGGAGCATCTGAACGGTTTTTCTCCCGTGTGGATTTTCTGATGGGAATGGAGGTTGATTTTCTGAGTGAAGCTCTTTCCGCACTCGGAGCACTGAAACGGCTTCTCCCCTATGTGGATTCTCTGGTGGGTCCTGAGGCTCGAATGCCCACTGAAGTTCTTCCCACACTCCAAGCAGTGAAACACTTTCTCCTCTAGGAGGACTCTCTTACGGGTCTTGAGTTCTGAACGGTGGCTTAAGCCCTTTCCGTACTCGGAGCACTGAAGTGGTTTCTCCAGTGTTTGCGTTCTCCGTTGAACATTAAAACTTGGTTTCAAACCGAAGGTCTTCTTGCACACAGGATGCCTATTCCTTTCTTTTCCTTCCGCCATTTTGTCTTGGGTTGGGATTTCCTGGAAGTCACAGGGTTGATAAACCACAGAACTTTTCCTTCCCTTCTGTTTTGCTTCCGTTTTCCGCCTCCACTCTTTCCTCTCTCTGCTTCTGTCTCTTTTCAGTGACGCGCCACACAGTTCTTGCTCAGTCTCACTCTTCCACGTGAGTCTATCACATGCTGGAAAAGAGAAGTGGCACAATGTAGTAAGGCCACAAGAGAGTAAGGGCATTAGTTTACAGCTGTAAGTCAACAGACACTCCTTTTCATAATCCACTACATTGTGTTGAGGATGTTAATAATAATAATAATAATAATAATAATTTTATACCCCAGCCACTCTGGGCGGCTCCCAAAGAATATTAAAAACACAATAAAACATCAAACATTAAAAACTTCCCTAAACAGGGCTGCCATCAAATGTCTTCTAAAAGTCAGATAGTTGTTTATTTCCTTGACATCTGGCGGGAGGGCGTTCTACATGGTGGGCGCCACTACTGAGAAGGCCCTCTGCCTGGTTCCCTGTAACCTCACTTCTCGCAAGGAGGGAACCGCCATAAGGCCCTCGGCGCTGGACCTCAGTGTCCGGGCTGAACAGTGGGGGTGGAGATGCTCCTTCAGGTATACTGGGGCTGAGGCCGTTTAGGGCTTTAGAGGTCAGCACCAGCACTTTGAATTGTGCTCAGAAACATATTATTTGTTTCCTAATGTTTACAGTCTGCTTCTGACCCCGGAGGTGAAAAAGGAGGAAAGCTTACACAGAGAAGACACGTTCCAAAAGTTCTCTTCCATGACTTCCCTGTGCAGGTCTCTCTGATACGGATCCAGCACTGCCAGCTCCTCCTCATTGAAGTACACAGTCACGTCCTCAAAGGTCACCAGGCCCTAGAAGACATAGGGTTCAAACAGGCAACAAGTCATGCTTCCCCTTCTACTTACTGCAAGTAAGGCAGTAAAAGTGGGGCAGCCAAGCAGGCGTTTCTCCGCAGGAGGATTTAAGCCGCCAGACCCCAACTTCCATCAGCTCCAGCTACCATGGCCAATAGTCAGGGATGATGGGAGTTGGGAGTCCAGCTGGAGGGTCGCCAGATCCCACCCTCAGATCAATCCGATTTCTTAAATTTATATCCCAGACTTCTTCCCCAAACAGCCCAGGGCAGCAAGCAGCAAATGATAAAGCAGTAAAAACGTCTTAGAAACTGGGAAAGCTTTCAGCTTGAAAGGCTTGTTGGAAGTCCTGAAAGTCGACTATAATGGAGGAAATTACACGTTGACGTAAGATTTAGACACGGCTCGGAGCCACCGGGTGCTTTTTATCTGATTTGGACTGCCTCTCCCCAATCTGGGCCCTGTGATCGCCCTCTGAGGCCCTTCTCCGTGCGCCCCCTCTCCACAAGGGGTCCAGAAGGTGGCAACACAGGAACGGGCCTTTTCCGTGGTGGCTCCCTCTCTGGACACAACTTGTTTCCTTTCACAGCTTGAGCTTTGATACTTAGCCCAAATACAAATATATTACAAGCAGCCCCCCCCCCCATTTAGGCAGGGGGTTACATTCTGAGGCACCGTGCGTGGTGGCAAAATTTCATTTAATTGAAACCCATTGAAAAAGCCTGCAAGCACCTCATTCCGCCCTTCCAGTAACATCTTTATGACATTTATCACTTCCAGGTTGGCGCAATGCACGTATACACAGCTATGTACATATTGAATACGTGTTAATGGGGGGCTGCCTGTCAACTTATATGCCATTTTATTTTTATTATATGTTTTGCTTTTTTAAAAAATTGTTTAGTCATTTTTTCGATACAAACATCAGCCGCAAAAGACACATACAACAATAACAATAATAACACAATTTGACAATTCAGATTTGAATACACTGATATACCTATGACTACACCTTTTTAAACAGTATTTTATCTCCTCCCCCTACTTCCCACCACTATCCGCCTTATCGCTTAAATATTCGTTCCAGATTTCTTCACATTTATCCAGACAAATAGACTGAAAAACAGTTTCTATCCAAGAGCTGTGGCCTTTTTGAATGCTGTAACTCGATAGTGTGACCTGGGAGTTTGATGGGTGTTGGTGTGGGTGTGGCTGGAATGTGGTTTGTTTGGTTGTTGTTGTTGTTTTGCTTTTGTTGTTTTAAGGGATGGCATCCAATTTCGTTGCACTTTGTGCAATGTTGCACTTGTGTAATGACAATAAAGAATCTATTCTATTCTATTCTATTCTTATTTTGCGTCGACATGCAATTCATTCGTATGTAACTAATCTGTCCATATTATCAATCCATGTGCTCAATGGATCTTTTTGCGGCTCTTCCAATTCATCAAAACAAGGTTTTTTGCTTCTAATATATATGTTTATGTTTTGCTCTTTATATGCTGTCAAATGCTGTTTTGCATGTTTCTTGTACAAATAAAAGTGAAGAAAAGTAAATAAATATTACCCCCCCCAAAAAAAAAGAGAGAGAGAGAGAAAAGAAAGTCTTTAAAGAAGCTGCATTATACTGAGTCTACACTGACCGGCAGAGGCCCTCCAGGGTTTCTGGAGTTTCCCAGCTCTACATGGAGATGCTGGGAACTGAACCCAAGAACTTGTGCATACATAGCAGATGTTCTGCAACAGAGCTATGGCGCTTGCAATCTCCTCAGTGGGCAAATTGACAGAAGCAAAGGTGATGGTTCAGGCCCAGGAAGATGAGGAGAGGACAGAGACCTGTTCACACTCATCACTGAAGCATGAAGGTGGAATGGGCACTGAAGGTCACTGAAGGATCTGGGATGATCAACCCCTTACCTTGTCTGGTTGCGTGGAATCCGTTCCCATTCCATCCTGAAGAACAGGCGACCCCGAACTGATGGCTGCTGTTATTTCACTGCCTGGAATGGCAGGAAGATATTGGATTATTTATACCCTTTTTCTGTTGTTATGTATTTAGACTATTTACATCTGGCTTTTTCTCTGGCCAAGTCACACTAAGTTAGAGCTTCAGAAGAGGTTTGCTTCTCAATACCAGCTGCTCTGAAGTAAGAATCACAGAGGGCTTATGCCTTTACACCCTGCTGATGGATGCATCTGGCTGGCCACTGAAGGAAGCAGGGTGCTAGATGACAGCAGCGAGCCAGCAGTAAATCACCCCAAGCAAGCTAGAGTTACCGTATTTTTTGCTCTATAGGACACACTTTTTCCCCTCCAAAAATTAAGGGGAAATGTGTGTGCTCCGGAGGCTACGCATTGCTTTCGTGGAAGCCTGGAGAGCGAGAGGGGTCGGTGCGCACCGACCCCTCTCGCTCTCCAGGCTTCAGGGATACTCGCGCTGCGCTCCGAAGGCTTCGGGTTCCTTTTGCTGAAGCCGGGAGAGCAAGACTCTCCTGTCTTCAGCAGAGAGGGAGAGCTGTGCAGCGCCCCTTCAGCGAAGCGGGAGGAGAAATGGAAGGGGCTCCATTTCTCCTGCCGCTTCGCTGAAGGGGCGCTGATCAGAGAGGGGGAGATTTTTTTTTTCTTGTTCTCCCCCTCTAAAACAAGGTGTGTCCTATGGTAGGATGCGTCCTATAGAGTGAAAGATACGGTAACTCTTTATTAGCAAAACACAAGTGTCAGGCCTAATGAGAACTCAGGTCTTGTCCCCATGAAGCAGTTGCCAAGACTAGAGGTCCCCACCTCCCTACAGCTGGCTGGATCTCCTCCTCTCCTTCCCAAGCAATCAGAGACTATGCCAGTGTGGCTGTCTTTGCTCCTCCCACTTCATGCCTCTCTTGGTTCAGGGAGACCAGGAGGGAGGGGAGACCTTTTGGCCTCCCTCCTCTCCTGCTTCAGCTTCTGCCTGTGATTCTGGGCTTCTCTCTGTCACAGACTCTCCCCGCTCACTAAACCCTGTTACCTCTTCAGCTTCCGACACCTCCTCCTCCCAGTCCTCTCCCTCTGACTACTCATCATTGTCCTACCACCAATCCCCAGGCTGTGAGCCTTCTTCCCTTGGGGGTTCCCCAGCTGGTTCCTCCTCCATTCCTCTGCATCTGACCATTCCCTGACCGTAGACAAGGTGGACCTTTGGCTTGATCAAAACTTATGTTCTGATGCACACATATGAGGTTGCAGCCTTAAGGCATCAAACCACTTCCTCCAGAAGCAAGTGGGGAACGCAGCCTCTGACAGTCACACCTGACATCACTGAATGGCTTTGGCAAATATCTGCCAGCCCAGAGCTTCCTGGGAAGAGACCCCCAGAAGCCAGCTGGACTGGAAGAGGAAGACTCAAGGTGGTGATCTTAGCTCAACAACAAATGTTGAGCTGAAAGCATCTCATGATAACAATAGCGTTGAAAATTAACAAACATTATGGTCACTGTAATATAAAAAATACAGTCACATCTAAATAAAGCACAAACAAGTTTATCAAAAACAAGTCAATATGAACGCATATTAATTCAACATATCAGAAATAACTACTGAGCCCTCTGCCAGTAGATAAGAATGCAAAAAGAAAAGAGAAAGGTTCCAATAATTTATTAGAACTTGGACATTAAACAGAAGGAAAGGGACGTAGGTGGCGCTGTGGGTTAAACCAGAGCCTAGGACTTGCCGATCAGAAGGTCGGCGGTTCGAATCCCCGCGACGGGGTAAGCTCCTGTTGCTCGGTCCCTGTTCCTGCCTAGCAGTTTGAAAGCACGTCAAAGGGCAAGTAGATAAATAGGCACCACTCCGGCCTATTTAAACGGTGTTTCCGTGCGCTGCTCTGGTTTGCCAGAAGCTGCTTAGTCATGCTGGCCACATGACCCAGAAGCTGTGCGTCGGCTCCCTCGGCCAATAAAGCGAGATGAGTGCCACAACCCCAGAGTCGGCCACGACTGGACCTAATGGTCAGGGGTCCCTTTAACCCTTTACCTTTAAACAGAAGGAACTTTACCTAGAGAGGTCATGATCCCACATTTCTTCATGACCTCCCTGTGCAGGGTCCTTTGGTTTGAATCCAGCAGCGCCCACTTCTCCCCAGTGAAGTAAACAGCCATCTCCTCAAATACCAAAAGATCCTGAAAGAGAAAGAAACATTTCACCCTGCACAGTTATTGCTGCAATTCTCCCCCCTTCAAGTGCAATCAGACAAAACAATTAAGGGTGAGGTTGGTGGGTATCTCCTTATAGGATTTAAACCTTCATGAGGGCCATTGGGAAAATAAGGAGCTGGATCTAAGGTAGGGAATGAGGAAGACTGACAGAGAAGCGTTCTGCCCGTCACGTCGGAAACCTCTACTCAAGACACCCCTTATTGTGGAGCTGCTTCTGGTACCTTCTATCAGCGAGGAGCAGCGGCGTAGCGTGGGTTGTCAGCACCCGGGGCAAGGCAAGTAATTTGCGCCCCCTAACCCTTAACCTGCCGCTGCTGCCAGCTTCTTCTTGCTGCTGCCTGGGCTGGTCTGGTGTGGTTCTCTCCCGCGCTCAGCGCTGCGCTGGGCGGCCGCTGCACTGTCCCTCCCCCAGATAGTCCCTCGTTCTCTCTCCGCACCACACACCTGGCACCCACCCCCTCCACAGTGGGCGGCAACCCAGCGGCTCGGGTCGGATTCGCACAGCCAGCACTGCAGTGAGAGAGAGTGAGTGAGCCAGGTAGGGGCAGAGAGCTGCGAGTGCGAGCGCACCCCCCCTCCCGATGTTGCGCCCGGTGCGGACGGCCCCCCCTGCACCCCCCACGCTACGCCACTGGCGAGGAGCCTCCCACCTGAGGCAGAAATTCTGCAAAAACTATTATCAGTGAGGCCGGTGTCACTACACCAGAGTGAGGCCTGACCACAGAACTGGTAAGAACTGTTACATAGTGCAATGTGTTATATGTAGGGCGTCCTCTGAAGACGGTTCGGAAACTTCAGCTAGTGCAGAATTCAGTGGCCGTGTTGCTCACTGGAGCAAGACAGTTTGACCATGTTACACCAATCCTGGTCCAAATGCACTGGCTACTGATTAGTTTCCAGGCCAAATTCCAAGTGCTGCTTTTGACCTATAAAGCCTTAAACGGCTCAGGACCGCAATACCTCAAGGACTGCCTCTTTCCATATGCACTTGATATTGTCTTCTGAGGCCCTCCTTCATGTGCCTCCACCTCAAGAGGTCCAGAGGGTGGCAACGCGAGAACAGGACCTTTTCTGCAGTGGCTCCCTGTCTGTGAAATGCTCTCCCCAGGGAAGTTCACCTGGCGCCTTCATTATACACCTTTAGGTGCCAGGCAAAAATGTTCCTTTTTAACCAGGCCTTTGGCTGACCTGATGGACATCCTACACCCTTTTAAAATGTGGCTCTTTTGGGGGTGTGGTGTGGTGTGGTGTTATTGGGTTATTGTTTTTATTTTGATTTTATATATTGTGATCTTTTCTGTGAACTGCCCTGAGACCTCAGGGTATAGGGTGGTGTATGTATGTATGTATGTATGTATGTATAAATAAATAAATAAATAAATAAATAAAATAGGAGAAACCCAGCGCTAACTGTTAGTGTGAAATACAACTCCAGATAAGGCATAAGGAAGGCTCTGAACCGAGAGCAAAAAACTTGGGTTGGGTGTTTTCAAGGACTGTAGTTGGATGAATGGGGGAGATGGTGGGGTGTTGAGGTGGCAGAAAGTGGTTGGCTAGAGAAGAAACAGCCTTGATGTTATGTAGTGTAGTTTCACCCTGGGCCAACAGGGGGATACTGTATATAGTTTTCACTCAGGTCTGTAGATAGTTTTCACTCAGGTCCGCGGCAGTTATTTTAGGCGGGAACTCTGGGCTGTTGTGGTTACAATGTTGACAGCCGGCTGCCTATAAATACAGGCCGGCTGAGCTGTTCGCAGTCAGTTGTATTCCAGCTTACCATAATAAAGAGCTACTTGAAGAAATCGCTGTGCCGGCTGCTATGTCAACCCACGACTTAACACTTGACGATGCACATTTGCTAATGGATATGCTCTCACAGACTCTTTTGTCTGGTAATGCATTACTGAATGAAGTCAGACTAATTGGGGGTTTGGTGTGAGCCTTTGAAGCCCCATCCTCCACCAAGGGAATTTTCTCCCACAGACCTCTGGGGAGGTCACTGAAAGCATATTCGGAAGCTGAGCCAGGACTGACTCCACTTCTCTGCAAACCAGCTTCACAGGCTCCAACCCACAAGAAGGCATGCCCACTTTCTTGCCAAGCCTTGGACTTCAGCTGCTGCCCACCCCGCTCTTCAAAAGGAAGACACACTGGACACGAAACCTGCTGGATCAACACCTTAGCAAGTGCAGAAATACCTATCTTGTACCTGCTATACTTTGTAAGCAACACCTTGTACCTGATTGATGCAGCAAAGGCTTTGCCAGAAACAGAATTGGGAGCTTGAGTTCGTCCAGCAACAAGGGCCAGGATCCTGTCCCCACTTGGCTACCCAGTGATCATTCCCTGCCGCCTGCTTACCTGATACAGTTTTACTGAGACAGCTTCCGCCCCACCACAAGGAAGAGAAGGTATTTTCAGCATCCATGGAGTCTCCTCCGCCTCAGGGAGATCAGCATCTGCTTCCTGCTCGTGAAACTAGAATGGGAGTAAAGAGAGAAATGGATGAGAAAAAGGATATACATGGAATACATGTTAGGAGATGCCCTAATGTAACATGTCACTCAATAAAACTTCAGACACTGAATACCTGGGTAAAGATAGATAGATAGATAGATAGATAGATAGATAGATAGATAGAGATATACAGTGGTACCTCAGGTTAAGTACTTAATTCGTTCTGGAGGTCCGTTCTTAACCTGAAACTGTTCTTAACTTGAAGCACCACTTTAGCTAATGGGGCCTCCCGCTGCCGCCGCCACGTGATTTCTGTTCTCATCCTGAAGCAAAGTTCTTAACCCAAGGTACTATTTCTGGGTTAGTGGACTCTGTAACCAGAAGCGTATGTAAGCTGAAGCGTATGTAACCCGAGGGACCACTGTATATGGGATTTTTAAACATTTATATTCTAAATACCTAAACAATAGAAGAAAAGGGATAATGGATGACTGGCACATAGGTTGTAATATAGCAGTTAAAATTTAACAAGTAAGTTATTTTTGCTGCAGCCTCTAATATCCAAAACAATAAAAATGTTTTTGTTTATTTTAAGTTTATGAAAATACAGCCATCAGCACAAAACTATTAAGATTAAAGTGTCTCACCTGCTGCTCTTCCTGCTTCTTCTCCTCTGCCTGACTCAGGAGGAAACCTTCTGCCAGGGCCACCGCCTGGGAACTGGTCTCTGCTCCACATTCCCTGACCCAGTTCTCCATCTCCGGGGGAAGGACAGCCAGGAACTGCTCCAGGATCACCAGGTCCAAGATCTGAGCTTTCGTGTATCGCTCCGGCTTCAGCCACTGATGGCAGAGATAGTGGAGTCGGCTGCAAACCTCTCTGGGTCCTTTGGCCTCCTGGTAGCAGAAATGCCTGAAGTGCTGGCTTGGAGCACCTGAACAGAGGATGTTGCTTTCCTGACCCAGTATCTTCTTCACACTGCCTTCCCAGAATTTCCCACTGCTCTCAGCCTGGGCAGCTTGAGGGCTTCTTCCTGTATCCTCCAACATGGTCTCTCGTATCTGGGAACCGGCGCTGGCAGGCTTGCCACCTGTCCTGTATAATGCAGGATTGTCCTGTATTTCAATGTGAAACGCTACCTAAAATGTACATATACAGTTGTAGGGAAGTTTTTAATATTTGATGTTTTATTGTGTTTTTAATATTCTGTTGGGAGCCGCCCAGAGTGGCTGGGGAAACCCAGCCAGATGGGCAGGGCATAAATAATTAAATTATTATTACTGCTATTATTTTGTCCTGAATTTCAGGTCTTCTGCCTGCCTGCCGAGTTAGGGCTCCTCTCCCAAAAAACGCGGGTGTGTGGAAGGCCGTGTATTATTATTATTATTATTAATTGAATTTATATACCGCCCTATACCGGGGGGTCTCAGGCCGGTTCACAGAATAAAATCAAGATATAAAACCACAAAATACGTAGTAAAAATAAGCTCTGGGTGGCCAAGCACAGACAGATTTACACATTCATAAGTGTGTGAGAGACAAATTGCAGAGAGGTCACCCTGTGAGGCTGCAACAGATTGCAATGGGTTGCTGTGAAGTCGATTCAGCACCAGGTGAGAAAATCAATCGCCCCCAATGAAAGGCGGCCGCCCCAAGCCCTGGCACCTGGGCTCAGGCAATGGAGCGGGGTCTCTGGAGCTCCTTAAGCTCAGGGGAGAAAATGGCCCTGATGAAAAAAAGAATCGTAAGGTTGACAGGCAGGTGCTGCTCCTCCCCAGATGCCTGAGGGGCCCTTCAAATCGTCGCAGAGAAATCTCCCCCCGTTGCCATGGTTACCTGCGGGTCGTGGCTAGCCGGGCTTCCTTCCGGCCGCAGAGAAATCTCCCCCCGTTGCCATGGTTACCTGAGGGTCGTGGCTAGCCGGGCTTCCTTCCGGCCGCAGAGAAATCTCCCCCCGTTGCCATGGTTACCTGCGGGTCGTGGCTAGCCCGGCTTCCTTCCGGCCGCAGAGAAATCTCCCCCCGTTGCCATGGTTACCTGCGAGTCGTGGCTAGCCCGGCTTCCTTCCGGCCGCGAGTGCCTGGCATCATCCGGGTCCCTTTCTCTGCCTCACTTCCGCCTCCTCGCGTCGCTTCGGCCGGCTCCGCCCCTTAGCAACCGGGCCGGCTGCTTAGCAACCGGGCGCCCCCCCTAGCAATCGCGGCCTGATTCAGGGACGTCCGTGTTAAATATTCATATTGGTTTTTAGTTGCATTTTTTTCACCTCTTCTTTTATTCCTCACATTGTATTTTATCGCGACCCCAATGCAAATCGTCGTTCTGTTAAAAGTCATGCAGCACCTAGCACAGTGTGTTTACAATTGCTACATTGGGCAGTGGGTTGCATTAATGAAATGGTCAGCAGTCTCAAACTACACCTGCGCACCTCTGGTTCTGCTCTCCTCAATATTATAACATCACAGAATCGTAGAGTTTGAAGGGACCCCCAGAGTCATCTAGTCCAACCCCCTGCAATGCAAGAATCTCAGCTGGAGCATCCATGACTGAGGGCCATTGAACCTCTGCTTATAAACCTCTGTAATAAACGAAAATCTGCCCTTATTCCCTTATGGGGGACACAAGAGCCCTTAGGTAAAGGGACCCCTGACCATTAGCTCCAGTTGTGACCTACTCTGGGGTTGCGGCGCTCATCTCGCTTTATTGGCCGAGGGAGCCGGCGTACAGCTTCCGGTTCATGTGGCCAGCATGACTAAGCCGCTTCTGGCGAACCAGAGCAGCACAAGGAAACGCTGTTTACCTTCCCGCAGGAGCGGTTGGCAGGAGCAGGGACTGAGCAACGGGAGCTCACCCTGTCGCGGGGATTCGAACCACCGATTTCTGATCGGCAAGTCCTAGGCTCTGTGGTTTAACCCACAGCGCCACCCGTGTCCCTACAAGAGCCCTTATAGAGTCCTTTGTAGGTTCTCCATCGGTCAGAGAAAAGAACAGAGGCCAACCAGAGAATATGGAGAAGCAAAGCAGCTTGTAAGCCTGATCTTTATTGAACTGTTGCAACAGGGTGCTCCCCTCACATACAGAAGGAGGACCCAGAACCCAGGTGTGCCCACCCTTATATAGACACTTTAAATTGCCCACCTTGGAGTCCAAGGCAACCCCCAGATACATCATACCTACATCACAGAAAGGGCGGTCTACAACAGAAATCTGAGTGCGTTGTTTACCTCCTGTCTGGCAGGTTACCTGATAATGCTTACTTGATTGGATACCCTGGGGAGCCTGGCCAGTCTTTTGTAATGACAAATACTTAGTTCCTGAGCCAGGTCACAGGCTCACCCTATTCATACACAGACATACCCTTAAGACAGGATTTGTGAAGGAAAAGACATAGGGGAGGTTCCCCCACCTCCTCCCTCCTTGCAGAGAAAAATTTGGTCAGTTTGGGAGTGAAAATAGTTTCAGGGCGGTCCTCCTGTGCTGCTCCAGACATGTGGTCCACATATCCATGTATGTGCTTGGTTGGTACATTTATGAACATTTATTATATATAATTCCTGCATTGCAGAGGGCTGGACTAGGTGGTCCCTTGCCAGCTCTCCCATTCTCTGGTTCTAGGATGGCGTTTCCTCCTTCTTGCAGAGCCTTTTCACTGCTCCTTCTTTAAATAGCCAACAGAAGGGAACAGCTCACAAGGATGCCAGCTGAAAGGATCCCCTAAATAAAGCATCTTGGGGAGGGGTGCGCACGATGCACATGGTCTCCTACTTTCAAGAGAGAAATTTCAGAGGGCTGAGCTGAGCACATTTGGCTTGCCAAGGGTTCAAAAGCACTACGCAGCATCCCTCAGTAAAAGCTAGAGTGGGGAGGGCTCAGGGATGCTGGGAGTTGTAATCCAACAACATCTGGGGACCCACAGGTTGAGAACCGCTGCAAGCAAAATCCCTTCCCTTCTCCGTCTGTTTTTGCAAGGGGGGTGGCGGCTTCTGCCTCTGCTCTGCACATTTTGCCTCTGTGCCATAGGAGTCAACTCATAGGGGTAGAGGTCCCTTCACCACCACCCCATAAAATATTTTAGGGTTTCTGACTACCCCTAAAATATTTTATTGGTGGGGGCGGGAGAAACCAGGAAGAGAAGAACTTTAAGAAAGAATGGGGGAAATTTACAATGTATTTAAGAGAACACTGTAAACAACTAAAAACTTTGGCAGGATTTCAAGTAACGCTTGTAATGTACTAAAAATTATGGTAAAAATGGATTAAGGAAAATAGAGAAAATAAGAGAAGCAGATGAAAAAAGATTGATAATGGTAACCACTGAAGGGCTGAGGGGAGTCAAAGGGTTCAGGGAATCCTAAATGTTGGTGCTGATGTTTAATGTTTGAATTTAAATTGAAATAAAAAAGATTTGACCAATACAAATATTTTTTAGGAGGCCGGGCTCCGCAAATGTTGATGGGTATTGGCATTCAAATGGTGTGTGCTCACCACGTCATGTGATTTTTTGATATTTGTATTGGGGGAAAAATCAATTATAAAGAAATAAAGAGGGGAAGAAGGGGGAAAGCGAACAAAGATATGCATGAGAGAAAAAAGAGGGGGTAAGTGTTCAAAAATGCAATGTACTATCCCATACATTTTTACATAAATTGATATAGTGTTATTATCCCAATACATTTTTAGATGTGAATAGCCTGCTGCATTCTGCATAAACTCATTCCAAATGATGACATATTTATTATGTGGCAGGACTTACCTCCCCCCCCAAAAAAATATTTTATTCAAGTTGGCACCCCTGCCCAGTGCCCCTTCTGGGAACTGCCAAGTCTCTCTCTTCCCCATAGGGTGTATTGGGAAGAAGGGGGAAAGTCCCAGGGCTGCAGGGGAGGATGCATAGAGGATCTGCTCAGCTCATGTGTGGGGAGACCCCCAAGTCAGGGAGCAGAGAGAGACCTCTTCCCTTCTCTGCAAAGCCAGGAAGAGGGCAAGTGTACAGGAGGTCTGCAACACCTTTGCAGAAGAGGCTCTCTGTCAGTAGGAGCTATTGTTTGAGCCCAGCTCCCCACCAATCCCAGGCTTTGCAGATCAACTTTGGCAGGTGAGTGGAAGCACCCGCCTGTCAAATCATATGATGCCATAATTCTGCCAGGTGACATCATCAGACCCACAGTGGGTCCAAACGCTTTTCTTACAGGGATACACAGAACCAGGTCCAGAAATGCCAGTTGATTGACAACCTGTCATGGAGATGGAGAGAAAGAGAGGGAGAGAGACAGAGAGACAGAGAGAGAGAGAGAGAGAGAGAGAGACAGAGACAGAGAGACAGAGACAGAGAGAGAGAGAGAGAGGAGAAAGTGCATTTCAGGGATTCATGCCTCTTTGTTCAACGATGGAAAGGACTTTATTTACTTTAATTTATGAATCACTTCCTACGAGGCATCAAGGAGAAAACCATATATGAGTTTCAAATCTAATACAGATGAAGACTGGGATAATGATCTCTACTTTAAAAGAGCTACATGGTCGATCCTTGCGAAATAAAAAGCATAATGGGGTGGGGTGAGGAATCATCCAATTTAAAGTCCCACAAAATACAAGTCCATTGGAAGATGTCGACCTGGAAGTAAACTCCCAGGTAGTTCGAGGCAGTTATATTCCCAGGTGTGTATGGGGACCTATACCTTTCAATGGCCTTGCTTCTCATTCACCTTGAGTGTGTTTGCTTGGCTGGCAGGATTGCGGCCTCCAACTCTGGATAAATGCCTCTCGTACGCTTGGATTGAGAATATAGGGAGAGATGTGGTCGCCATCAGCTTTTTTTTTTGGCCAATGAATACCCTTGGAATTTTGATGAAGATGTCATGGGCGCCAGCCACAAAATGGTTCATCACAAAAAAGTGAAGCAGTTAACTACCTGACCACAACATTATATCGATGCGTAAGATGATGGTCCTAATCGTCCTTTTTCTCTCTCTCACTAAACATTGCCGCTTGTTTTCACTAGGCAAACTTGAGTTCTCACAAAATGAGAGAGTGAGTCCATTTCTCCCTCTGTGCCTCAATAGTAGCTTTATCAACCACTATCACTGCCCCATCTAGTCATCACCCCACTGAAGCATCCCAAATTCTCTTTGGAGTCCCAGCCCCCATGGCGGTGGCCGCTCTAGGTCACTAGGAGTGATCGTTCATTCACAAAAGGCGATGAGGTTAAATGCTTACTCAAAACACTAAACTTTGTAAGATTGTGACTCTATTCATTTTCCTAAGTACAATACAGGGTTTGTAGGGATTTGAACATTTACCGTATATACCATCAGTCTCACGTGTGGACTCTCTGTTGGCTGCAAAGGTCCAATTGGTCACTAGAGCTCTATTCCAGGGGTTCCCAGTGGTCCACAAGCTTCGTTCAGGTATGCCATGGCACGTCCGTGTTAAATATTCCTATTGATTTTTAGCTGTATTTTCCATTGCTTCTTTTATTTCTTATATTGTCTTTTATTGCGATCCAAATGCAAATTGTCATTCTATGAAATAGCATTTAAAATACCATTTAAAATCATACAGCACCTAGCAAAGTGTGTTACAATTGCTACAACGGGCAAGGGGAGGGGAATACAGTGGTATCCCTGGTTGCGAACGGGATCCGTTCCGGAGTCCCGTTCGCAACATGAGCAGAACGCAACCCGCGTCTGCATGGGTCGCGATTCGCCGCTTCTGCGCATGCGCGTGACGTCACTTTGCGCGTCTGCGCATGTGGCGAAACCCGCAAGTAACCCTTTCCGGTACTTCCGGGTCGCTGCGGGACACAACCTGAAAATGCTCAACCTGAAGCAAACGTAACAAGAGGTATTAACTGTCATTAAATGGTTTGTCAAGACCATCAAGTGGTCCATGGGGGGGGGGGAATTCTCTAATCTACTTCATCGACTGCTCTAATCTACTTAGTTACATATGCTTCCTTCGGATGTGAATCGCAAACGACAGAATC